GAACGTCAACACGGAGATCGAGCGACGTGGCGACGCCAATTACCACAAGTATCTGCAGCAGTTGGAGCAACGCAAATCGGAATGTGCTCATATGCTTGATCAAATCACTGTGGCCATGGAGCGGCTGGGTGCGCTTAGCGCTGAGTACGAGTTTGTCTCGCAGAAAACCAGCGCTCTCAATACGGCCAGCGAGCAGTTGATTGATGAGCAGCAGAAGCTCCAGGAGCTGAGCAACGAAATCCAGCGACGACTCCATTTCTTTAGTCAGGTTGAGCTGCTAAATCAGCGCCTGCAAAGCCCCACGTTGTCCGTGGCCAGTGAAGCTTTTCGCGAGTGTCTGAACAAAATTGACGAATGTTTGAATTATCTAGCGGATCATGTGAGTAATACGCCCGAATCCCAGCTAATAGCTAATAATTGTTTAATCGTTTTAGCCCAACTTCAAGGACGCAGCTGCCTACAATGTCAAGTACAAGCAGTGCCTGTCTAAGGCAACGGGCCTGGTGCGCAACTATGTGCTTAATGTCATCAACCAGGCCACGGAGGCGACACTACATCCGCGCAATAGCAGTGGCGATGCCGGTTCGCTGCAAGCACCCGATGCCGCATTTGCACTCTACTATGGCAAATATCAAACAGCGGCGGCTAAAGTGAAGCGCGTTGCACAGCTCATCGAATCGCGCCTTGATCACAGCAGCAGCAGCGAGTATGTCCAGCTAATGACAGATCTGCAGCAGCATTATCTGGCACAGCGTGCCAGTGTCATGTCGCCTGCCGTCAATCAGTCCATACAGAATGTCAAGAATGCTCACAAGGGCGATCATTGTTCGCTAACGCGCAGTGCATGCGCCTTTCTGGTCCACGTTTGTCAGGACGAGCAGCGTTTGTATTATCAGTTCTTCGGCACGGGCGCAGCGCATCTGACGTAAGTTTCCCTGGATATATGTGTTATGCATTCACTTATACTTTCCACTTGCAGTGTTTATCTGGAGGGTTTGTGCACAATTTTGTATGATACCTTGCGGCCGTTTATTATACACATCAATCACTTGGAAACGCTTGCAGAGATCTGTTCCATATTGCGCATCGAAATGCTCGAGGAGCATGTGCAACAAAATCGTATGTCTTTAGCTTTACATTTGTATTTCTCTAGCTTTCCCCACTTACTACTAACTAACCTGTCATTCTGTATCTACGTCACAGCCAGTGGACTGGAGGCATTTGCGAACATAGCTCATCAGCTGCTGCAGGATGTGCAGGAACGTTTGGTATTCCGTGCGCATTTGTATTTGCAATCCGATATACAAAACTACAACCCTTCAATCGGCGATTTGGCATATCCGGAGAAGCTGGAAATGATGGAGGTACATGTTGTGCGCCTTATTTTGACTATTCCTTCAAATTACCTTTTACTATTATTACAGAGCATTGCTCTATCGTTGCAAGAGCCTACCCAGCTGCGACGCTCGGATTCCCGCGCGTCCATGATGTCCAGCGAAGCGGAGAGCGTGGACACCGCCTACAGAGTCAAACAGATGAGTAGGTCTAATGCATCAGCAGCCAAGTTGACAATTAATTCTGTTTCTTTTATAGATTCGCCCGCTGATCTACATGGCATGTGGTATCCCACAGTACGACGCACTTTGGTCTGTCTATCTCGTCTGTACCGCTGCGTGGATCGGCCCATTTTCCAAGGTCTCTCCCAGGAGGCACTCAAACTGTGCATACAGAGCGTTTCCCATGCAGCGACTAAGATAGCAGCCGCGAAGACGCCCATTGATGGCGAACTTTTTGAAGTCAAGCATTTGCTGATATTGCGCGAGCAAATCGCACCGTTTCGTGTTGATTTCACCATAAAGGAAACCTCGTTGGACTTCAGCAAGGTGAAGACGGCAGCCTTTGGGCTGCTGCAGAAGCGCAAACAGCTGTTCTCCATGGGCAGCAGCAATGCATTGCTTGAATTTTTGCTCGAGGGTACGCCACAGATCAAGGAGCATTTGCTGGACTCGCGCAAAGAAGTCGACCGTCAGCTGAAGACGGTGTGCGAGCAGTATATTAAAGATGCAGTACACATGCTGATAGGTCCGCTCATCACATTCCTGGACAAGGCACAAGCACTGTTGGCACACGACACCGCCAAAGCAGCGAACACAACAACACAAGACGCATCCTCCACGGGCAAGGTTAGTTATGTGCTGCGGCAAAGCAGCTGGGCGAGTCCACAGCAAATCAGCAGCATTATCCAAGAGACACAGCGCCTTATCAAGGCCAAGCTGGCGGTGCTGCAGCGAGCGATGCAACTCTACCTGAGCAATCGTGATACCGAGTTCATAATCTTTCGGCCCATACGGGTAAGTTGTAAGCTTCAAATTTGTGAAGTCATTGCACTTAAATTATACACATTCCATTGCAGAACAACATCATACAGGCCTTTGTTAAGCTGGAGCAACTGCTAACAACAAATGGCTATTCTGCGGATGATATGATCATTACGAGCTGTCCCTCAGCAGAGCAGGTGTCCATTTTGTTGTCCAGTGCCAGCATATTAGCCGCCGAGGGCGTGGCAAGCTTCGCAGCGGCAGCACGTAAAATAAGCACATCATCATCCGTAGACGGTGCAACAGCTGGTAGGAAGCTCAGCAGCATATCCAACAAGGCGGAACAAGCACAAGCTGCTGTTGTAGAAGAGCCTGAATGCGAGCAGACGCCGGCAGCTACAAGCACTCCAATGCCAGTGGCATCAGACGCCAAGCAGAGCACAGTTTCCGGACAACCACAAAATGTAACTGTGGAGAAGCCAGATAACGAGCAGTAGCCCACACAGATAAGCTCAGCATAGTATACAGAAAATGTTATCCCTATCCTATGTATGTATTTATAAACCTAAGCAATTCAACATGTATATTACAGTTTATTCCAACCAAGTAGAGCTAATAATCGAGCCAGTTTCTACAACCTGGTTAAAATTGGGAAAATGGCTCGATTTGAATTATTTTTGCTAAGCAGCCTTAAGCGTGCTGAGAATGTGACGAAGTCAACATAAATTATCAACATTAAATATAAATTACAAACAAAATGACAATTAGTTTAATTAAAGATCTAATAAAAGGGCAGCACACATTGGCCGCTGGTCAAGTGATGGATATGTTTCGTACGGAGTCTGAACTAGGAAAGTGAGCATTTATCCTTTCCGTTTGCTTGCTGCGAATCGCGTCCACCCACAGTCGTTGCGCGTTGCGTATTGGTTGTGGACGTGGCGCCGCGTCGATTTGTATTAGCTGCATCATCTTGCTCCATGATGGATAAAGCTAGCGCATGCGCCAAAGCCTCGTCCTCAGTCTAAAAAATGCAAGAATAAATTAGTATCTGACGTGGTTTTTTATGACTATAAATATGCAAAGAGAATGTTTCCAACTTTTAATTGTAATTTTAAAATTTAAATCTAGTTAACCCAAAAAGGATGGCACTTAAACTGATTTCACTCTTTTCTGGCATCTTAATAACAATGTAGAGTCCCCTTTATACAGACTACTGTAACATACAATGTCTTTCCAGTATATCTTACCATATTTCCTTGTATGGTTTGAACTTGAACGGGCGTAACAGCTGCTGCTGCTGCTAGTGGAACATTCCTTGCTGGGGGATTGGCTTGGGGTTTGCTTTGGCGTCGTTTCTCGGCTGCCTGCGCTGCCATTGAACGTGTATCGGTGAATATTTTAAAAATGCCCTGAGATGTGCCCGCCGACGCCACCGGGGCAGACGATCCGGCTGCGGTCTTGCGGGCTTGCAGTCGTGGTCACTCGTGTGACGATGACGTAGACAGAAATTTAATTTGCACTGGGAGCAAAGGACGGGTATCAGCTCTTTGCGTTTACAGCCCTTAGCATGGCAGCGATTTGTGTAGATTTTTTTGCTATCCGATTTGCATTGCTTGTCGATGTGCTGGCCAACCGTTAAATCTGGCTCAACGCCAGGAGCCGTCGGCACAGGCTCCCCGCACAGCGGACATATTGGAACTTGAAAGTCCTTCCTGTGGGCGCCAGGACACTTGTGACGTTCGTAGTTGTAATGCGTGGCGCAGAACACCTTGTCACATGAGTCACATTTAACAGGCAGGAAATCTATAAAACAGTTATATTTGCATAAAGTTTATTAAAGGTCATTTCTTTTCAGAGTGGCAGGTATTGTCGTGTCGAGGTCAAAACTCACCTAATCTGTTGCATGTGGCTTCGTTGCAGTGTTGGCCCAAATGTGGAAACTCCATTGTTGCGTCCTAACTTCCTCGTTGTTTGTGCTCAAGTAAATGCCTTAAATGGCTTGTGACAGTTTTTTATAGAACTCAAATTGACTAAAAATTCGAGAAAGCGCTACACGCAATGACTAAACAATATTCACACTATTATTTCACCATTCTCACACTGTAGTTATCATTTGCCATTCACCACAATACGATATAAAACTTACATCTATCGATACACATCTGAAACTATCGATATTAAACTCTATCTATCGATATTAAATTGTACCTATCAAATTAATCGTTGGAATTTAAACAGCGCTATTAGCTTCTGCTGCTTTCCATAAGTAATTATATTACACTTTTATCATACATACATATTTACAAATTTATTTGTTAAAATATTATGTTGTTTTGTCATGTTACAAAAGGTGTTTCGAATATACATAAATATATATAAACCAACAACAATCGTGGGGAAAATGGTTTCCCAATTCAATCACTTAATTACATTTCAATTTGTTTCACGCATATTCATTTAATAACTGGCTTCATTGAAGTTTTTTTTTTTTTAATTATACCGAAGATAGATTGAGAATAGTTTCGCGCTTTGCGATATGTAGACTTCACCAAAAGCCTCTAATAAACATTGTTTTTTTGTATACATTTACAAAAATAAAAGCAAAATTTGCAATAATAATAATAATAATTACTGTGTAAGAATAAAATAATATATATATAAATATATATATGTATGTGTGTGTTTGAATGCATCGGTAATTAAAGTTGAACTTTATCTGCAAGCACGATCGCACCACATGGTAACAATTATTGAGAGGAATTTAAAGCGCTAGGAAATGCCCAACGGCAGCAGCAGCAACAGCGGCAACAAGTAGCTTCACTTCAAGATCAGCGCCTCCAGTTGACGACAAATTGGTCCCACAAAATTAACGCACGCACATTAGATAGGTATAGATACGAAGCGCAGTGCCGCTTTGCTGTTAGTTAAGCATATTGGAAATGCATCTGGCGGTTTGAATAAAAGTTAAACGATTTCCCTGGCAAATGGTGCAAAAGCCTCCCAGTAGCTGATGATCTGTGTGAAGTGAGGATATGATTAAAAATATATACTGCGAACTGGTTATCGTATGTTCTTACCTGTTGTTGATGCGCCATTTGAACTTCAATGTATTTAATAATGTTAGCTTTGAAGTCTTTCACTCTACTTAGCTCGAAGCGTTCCATTTCTCTCTTGATTTCCGACGAAATGTCATCAAATTGCTGCTGACAGCGCTGCACCTTGCCCTGCCACTGTAAAATAAAAAGATAACATTGTAATACCACATATAACATATATCTTATTATTGTAGCCCAAACCTCTTCAACCTCTTGTTGCGCCTGATCCAGTTTGTCGACACGATTGGCCAGCTCGAAGCGACCGCGATTCTCACGTCGTTTTGAGAGCTGCATCTGGGCGTATTGCCAGTTTTGAAAGGCCTTTACACGTTCATGAAAAATACACTTGATGGCGCCAAACAGCCCCAAATAGTCTTTGATAAACTCGGCGAGTATATAGAAATCAGAATTCGCCTGCTCGGAGCGCAGCAGCTCAATCTTTTCCTCCACATCAGCCAGATTCGAGAGCGCACGTGAAAGTCCAGTATGCTCCTCACAGGTGCTCAGCATAGCCGCCGATTTGGCCACCAGTCCAGTCAGCACAGACAGCTCACGGCGTGAGGACACCAAAGATTTCAGTGCCGATGAAAGTTTTTGCAGATTTGCATCCAAATTCTCCACTTCGGTTATCTTGTCATCGAACCACGGATCGTTCTCATCCATTTTGTACGTTATTTTGTTAACCGTCTCGCCAACTCTATTGAATAGTCGAATGACGCCAGCGCCACTGAGAGCTGACGTATTAACGGCACGTGGAAGCTCCTGGTCGCTTTCCAGGAAATTTATAAAATCCAAATCCACGCGCAGCACCGGATGCTGCGCTGTACGATGCACAAAACGCTCCAGTGCCGCACGCCGTATCTCAACCCATTCCTGATTGATTGGTGTGCCCGGCTCGGTTTGCTGTGGACTCATCTTTACCTTGGTGCTGCCAATAATATTTTTGGAAGGCGCCGGCGGTATAATACGACCCATGCGCAAATACTTGTTCACTAAGAGATCATGTATTCCCAAGAAATCGCTAAAACGGCGCAAAGTGCTAAATTCGGTGCGCTTAAATTTTGGAATGTTGGTTTTCGTTGTCACTCTATATAATAACAGAAATGCCAAATAAGAGACAGAATAAGTTAGGGCATCAGTGATAAGGCGGTGTGACTCACTTGTATGCCAAATACGAGCTCATGCCGTCGCCAACCTTTTGGGGATCTGATATGACAATTTGAATGAAATAGTCCCCATCGTCTGTCAGCACCTCCTCTAGATTGCTGGCAGAAATGCGACGCTGCAACATAATACGAGATTGATAAAGCTAATAAATGAATATGCACTGTGATAAGTCTGTCGCCTAATCGCATGGATTCAAATTGGCGCAGCGAGGGGCGTGTGTGAAAGGGCGTCAGCTAGGCTTGTGACGTTGTCACAAAAGTCAAACAAAGCAAACGGTCGAGGAAGTTAAAGATAAACGGCCAGAGCGGACGCCGCCCATTTGCGACGCAAAATTATGCTTAATTAAATAACAATATTATAAAGTCTTGGTCAAGCGGAACTTACATGCACTTCGCTCGGGGTCATTGCCGAAACGAATAAATCATTTTCATGCTCCAATGTTACACTGCCCGGCGCTGGCACCTCCTCCTCATCGGATGCACCGGACGCTGAGCCATTATTAATGTCAACATCCGCAAATTCTCTGTTGTGTTCAGGTGTCGTTGTCTCAACTTCCATTGTGACACGAGTCAATATTACTATTAATTAAATGCGTTGCGGTACTCGTGCTCTAATTGTAATTATTGGAATTCTTTTCTTTTTTTTGTCGACCTACTCGATAGCTGCCAGACAATGGCTGTAGCAATAATATCGATATCTAAATAGCACTTTAAGCGTGACCAGCATTCGAAAAAGCTTTCTCGGTTGAAATGAAATATATACTAACAGCTTAAAATACTAAACTAATATTTGAAGGTATTTATTTATTGAAATATGAACATAATACGTTACTGGACCTTTTGATTGGCCGAAATCCAGGATATAAACGAAGACACCTGGACGTAGACAGACGGTGAGTTGACCTGACCGCATGGCAACTTGCCCCAGGATACAATTCCAATCAGAACGTTATCCTGGACCAAAGGACCACCAGAATCCGAAGTGCAGATGCTAACTCCTCCAGTAAGGGGGCCCGTGCACACGTTAGTGCTGTGTACATCTTTGCCCTTTGAACCTAATGCAGATTCGCAGGACGCCAGGCTGATGATAGGAACATTTGCAGCTACTTGAAGAACGCTGGGGTACGATGCCGTATTTGTAGTTGAGGTACTTCCCCATCCATATAGATTCGCAGTACCAGTTGGCACCACACCAGACTTGGGCAAGCTCACGGCAGCCACAGCAGCGGTCCAAGTGAAAGCAGTGGGAGTATAAATTAATCCAATGTCATAAGGGACAGTTCCGCCCGTATAAAGTTCATTGACAACAAAATAGGTGATGCTACGCTTTTGGGTGGTGGATGCAGTTCCTGCAACTGCATTACTGCCGGCGACTAGCGTGCTCCCAAGGATCTGCGCACTGTTGGTTAAGCAATGGGCCGCAGTTACCAGCCAGTTGGCGCTTATAATGCTGGCAGCGCAGTAGTGGGTACTCTGGTACTGCATGGACACCGCGTAGGGAGCGCTGTTAGCCGATGCAGCAACTCCGCCCACAACTCGTCCATTGGGCACAACTTGATCCGTGGTTGCTCTTACGACAGCCGCAGATACATCGCAGAAGCCAAAGAGGAGGCAACATGCAATCAGATAAAAGGAGGAAGTTTTTTGACCGCTCGGCGACATGGTTTCCGAGAAACTGTTTACAAATGGCTTTATCGAGTGCCGTTTAAATTAAAACGAGATACGAAATGTGCACGCTTTTAGCAGTGATAAGAATTTTCAATTTGCTCTTTTGTACTTTATAGATAAGCGCCTATTTTAATTGGAAGGGTGGGAAGATTAATTATAAGAACTATCTAGGAACAGACAAGTTATTAGAATACGGTCTATGTAAACAATTTATACTATGCATGTACATATTTCATTTGAACTGGGTGAGTAGTATATGTACCTCAATTGACAGATAAGTCAAATATCTTAAGTGGATTCTAAACAATAATTTTCATTAGACGATAATCATCATTAAAACCTTATCAAAAGCTATGCAACAATAAAAAGAAACTATGTTTGAAATTGTGTCAGTTGACCGTTGCTTGGAGCAGTATTAAGCTCGGTATTTTTAATCGGCAAAAATTTGGTATTATTGCGTGTTGGTAACTGCCTATGAATTCAATTATCGATATAGTATATCGATAGCCATCCCTACAACTGACTCAGATCGACTTGGTGGCTGACTTTTTCTACGAAAATTTTGTTAATACTACTACGTAAATCATTGGACTTAGCGTTACGCAAAACCAGACTAAAAAAAGTGCGGGCGACTATATATACATATACATAAACAAAGTGCAACGTGTGCAGCAGAAGCCGCATAAGTAACACGCCCCAATAGCAAAACAAAAGGTAGAGAGAGTGTACAAGAGAGAGGCGAGGAGAGGTCAGCAAACCCGCAATTAAGAAAAAGTCGACACGTACAAGAGTTGAAACAGCAGCAGCAGCGGTCGCACCAACAAAAATAGTAAACATGTCATCCGGCGATTTTGGCAATCCGTTGCGAAAATTCAAATTGGTGTTCCTCGGCGAGCAGAGTGTGGGGAAAACGTCGCTGATTACACGGTTCATGTATGACAGTTTTGACAACACCTACCAGGCGACAATTGGTATTGATTTTCTATCTAAAACGATGTACCTGGAGGATCGGACTGTGCGACTGCAATTATGGGATACGGCGGGTCAGGAGCGTTTCCGTTCGCTAATTCCCTCCTATATACGCGACTCGACAGTCGCTGTGGTTGTCTACGATATCACGAACACAAACTCATTCCATCAGACCTCCAAGTGGATCGATGATGTGCGCACGGAGCGTGGCAGTGATGTCATCATCATGCTGGTGGGCAACAAAACGGATCTGTCAGACAAACGTCAAGTGTCCACCGAGGAGGGTGAGCGCAAGGCGAAAGAGCTAAATGTGATGTTCATCGAGACCAGCGCCAAGGCCGGTTACAATGTAAAACAATTGTTTAGGCGCGTCGCGGCGGCGCTGCCCGGCATGGACTCGACGGAGAACAAGCCATCTGAGGATATGCAAGAGGTTGTGCTTAAAGATTCACCCAATGAGACTAAGGATCCCGAAGGTGGCTGTGCCTGCTAGAACTGGGCACTTACCCAATTACCCCTCAGCTCCCTCCCAACCACCACCACCACCACAAGCCTCCTACCCGCACAACCTACGCTACAACCTCGAACAGATTCAAACATTGACACACACGCTGGCGCGACGGGGTTTACACCAGGTGTATGTGGTCAACAGGCTAAAGATGAACATGCAACAGAAAACAGAAACCAAGCTAAACATGAGATGCAGACATACACACAATTTTATGTTTAAGTTTATTTATAAAAGATAACTAAAAAAAAAGAGTATAAAACAAAATGATAGCAAAACATAAATAGACTAAAAACTAATTTAACGCAATCGGCTAATTATGTACGTTAAATGCATTGCTTTGCAATATATAAGTATGCGCCAAATCCTAATCTCCAAGTTGAGAGTTAAGCTCTGCTCAGACGTACCCAATAGCTTGGGAAAACTAAGTTACTTCCTGTAGAGCGCTTTGCAATGACAGTGGTCACTCGCAAAGCGAAACGCTTCGCTGTGAATTTGAGTTTTGAAAGTTCTTCAAACAAAAACAATAAATATAATATGTGAAAATTAGAAGAAAAAGAGAAAATGCCGAAGTATATATCTAATTTCTGTTAGTTCTCATTTTCGAGTGACCACTGTATTATCACCATATTTTATCTGGCATGCTATGGAAATAAAACGAATCATATGCTATCGGAATAATTTCTCTCTGGCAAATATATACCAGACTATGCCAAGCTCTAAGCATTACCCTAGCCAATCTGGGACGTGTGAGCTTAGCTTAACGAACTCTCCCAAAACTTGTACTTACAACAAAAGAAAAGAAACCAAACCTTGAGCACACGCAAGAACATTCCACATTGTGTACTGGTTGCCCCATTTTCCCCCAACTACAGATACCACTGGGCCAGCATGTGTTCAAGCCCCCCGAGAGCATAACCCAGAAAATGAGATCATATTAGACACTGGCAGACCGATGAGGTTCCATTTATATGACTAAGCCCCGTTTTGTTTGCGGCTTTTGTTTGTTATTTTATTTTCGGTTGTTTTCTTTGGACGGCACGGCAGCTGCAGTTGGTTGGCGCAGAACTTGGCATCTTATGAGTAAATATATATATATATATATAAATATATATAATATGTATTTTTATGGCAGTGTAAACAATTAACAGTTTAAACAATATTAACAATTTTTTGCTTCGACTAGCGAGAGAACTTTGTGCATTTTTTACGCAACAAGCAAAAGCTTACAAAATTGAAATACGAAACGCAATTTTTAATAAATCAAATTATGAAACTAAACATAATAAGTATTAGCAATAAATTAAAAACAGAAAACAACTAATGCAAGCCCTCATTTCATTTATGAATTATCCATGGTAAGTGACTCACTTGGCCCACATATCTTATCGATATGTTCAACAATTTCCCAACGATAAGCATGACGTTCCACTCACAAATTGATGGATAACTCGTTGCTATTCATAAAACAGTTCTGACTGATTGATTAACAAGTGATTGACGATTGACAGACAAAGCCATAAGAGCTGAAAAGCTGAATTTTTCTCAGAAGGGCTCTGGAAGATCCATCAGAAGTTGTGGAAAATTGGTTGCATACAATATTTTTGTTTATGAGAACTTGAAACTAGTTTTTAAAGATCTTTGTACAAATTGTTCTCACCCGATCTGCTTTAAAATTGTTTAGATTCCAAATTTTAACATTTTATTGCAGCTTTCGGAAATTTAGAAAAGAATTTTCAGCACGATATCTTTCTAAACAGCTTTAGCTATATAAGGTTCATAATTTGTTGGCCCTTGTTGGGACTATAATTTATTTGAGGATTTCATGAATGTAAGCGTAAAATACAACTGAAAAATGCCGGTCGTTTGCTTTGCAAAGCTAGGTATACATATTTTGGATATATAAATAGAGTACATTTTAGTGAAGGAGCGTGGCCTAGAAGTTATCCTCATTTGTGATATACTCGTCGCGTATCTTTTGCAGCTTGGTAATGAGTTCCGCTACAGATACTTCGCCGTGCACCTTGTTGTCACGGGTACGCACATTCACTGTGTTCGAGGAGCGCTCCTTGTCGCCCACCACCAAAATAAAATTGAATTGCGCCAGCTGAGCATTGCGTATCTTCTTGTTCATCGTGTCGCCAGCATCGCAGTCGGCCTCGCTCATGAAGCCAGCGGCATAGAGCTGATCGCGCACAGTTTTCGCATACTCATCGTAGGCGGGGCCCACCGGCACAACCATGACCTGTCGCGGCGAAAGCCAGAATGGCCACTTGCCGGCATAGTTCTCGGTGAGTATAGCAATCATGCGCTCCACAGAGCCAAGAATGGCGCGATGTATGATAACGGGACGCTTCTTTTCGCCATCATCGGCAATGTAGTTGAGATTGAAGCGTATGGGCAACTGGAAGTCCAGCTGTATGGTAGCACACTGGAATGGACGCTTCAGTGCATCCATAATGGTAATATCAATTTTGGGTCCATAGAAAGCGCCATCGCCGGGATTCTCTTTCCACGGCATGCCGAACTCATTGAGAGATTCAGCCAATGCCTTTTCAGCGGCATCCCACTGCTCCAGCTCGCCCAAATACTTCTCTGGCCGTGTGGACAGCACCAGCTGGAAGGAGAAGCCAAAGATGGTGTACACATGACGCAAGAAGTCCAAACAGCCCTTCATTTCGCTCTTGATCTGCTCTGGCGCACAGAAGATATGCGCATCATCCTGCTGGAAACGGCGAACACGTGTCAGGCCAGTCAATGCGCCGGACAGTTCGTTGCGATGGAGCACACCAAAGTCAGCCATGCGCAGCGGCAGCTCACGCCACGACCGATTGCGATTGTCGAAGATCAGGCAATGACCGGGACAATTCATGGGCTTCAGCGCAAACTTCTCCTTCTCCGCCTCAAAGGAGAACATGTTGTCCGCATAGTGCTGCCAGTGGCCGGATGTCATCCACAGTTTGGCATTGTAGATATTTGGCGAGATGACCTCCTGGAATCCGCGCTTTCTGTACTCGCCTCGTATCAAGTTCATCAGCGTGTTGTAGATGTGTGCACCTCGTGGCTGAAAGAAGCACGAGCCCGGGGAGAGTTCATGGAAAAAGAAGAGCTCCTGCTCCCGGCCAATCTTGCGATGATCACGTTTTGCTGCCTCCTCCTGCAGTTTCTCCCATTCCTTGAGCTGCTTGGGATCCGGGAATGATATGCCATAGACGCGCTGTAGTGTCTCCGCATCGGCTTTGCCTTCCCAATAGGTTGACGAGTTCTTGGTGATCTTCAAGGCCTTAACCTTGCCGGTGTGACGCACATGCGGACCACGACACAGATCGATCAAGGATCCGCACTTGTAGACCGTGGTGCGATCTGTGGTTACCTTTTCATTGAGAATTCGCACCTTAAACTCATTGTACTTGAACATCTCCAGCAAATCAGACTTCTTCATCTCCAGTCGCTCGAAGTTTTGCTTCTCCTTGACAATCTGCTTGACCAATGTCTCCATGGTGCCGTAATCATTCGTCGAGATCTAAGCACAAATATTGGTTAATGGTAAGTTATATGATTTGAAGATGAACTGCTTACGCCTTCGCCCTCCAAATGCATGTCGTAGTAGAAACCACTCTCAATAGGCGGGCCGTAGCATAGATGCCCGCCATAAATGCGCTCCATGGCCTCGCCCATAATGTGAGCGGAGCTGTGCCAGAAGACGGCCTGTGCATCCGGATCGTCAAATTTGAGCAGCTGCAGACTACAGTCGCCCTCTAGAACGCGATCCAAATCCCAAACCTCGCCATTTACCTTGGATATAATGGTATTATCGGCCAGACCCTTGCTAATGCCGCTTGCTACATCGTAGGGCGTGGTCTCCCAGGAGGTGGCATCCACCTGTTTACCATCGGGCAGTGTTACTTTGATGGCCACACGTGGCTTAGCAGCCAACTCGGCAAGATACTCGGCCTTGCATTTCTCCCAGAAAACGTTTCGCTCCTCAATGTACTGTGGCCACGGATTAAGCTCTACGGGAGAGATTATGACAGGAGTGAGTTTTCAGATACAGTTAAAGCTAGCAGACAGCTTCTTTGGGCAAAGCATATTAAGCCTACCCTTGCAGAGGTCATATTTTTATATAACATACCTGTTATTGGAAACCAGTCAAAATGTAAATTTAGTATGAGCTAGTTTATGCGATTCGGAAGCGGGTTTGTATTAAAATGTTTATGTCTGCAAGGGTATTTATTGCTCATTGGTCCTGAGAAAATAGTTTTTTATGTTCTCTCGGCTCTCGGAACTGTTCACTTAAGTAAGCTTTTACTGTATACAATATTTCATTTAATTACCTTTACGACTGTCGCCGCCGCCTGCAGCTGGCTTCTCCTTTTTCTCCTTCTTCATCTTAGCTGCCTGCAATACATATGAAAAAAATCAATAGATCGCAAAGGCGTAATAAATATACAGCATATAAATCAAAAACTGTATCAAACTTCTTTTTGCTACGTGGGCAACGTACACAGTTAAGAAAGCAATTATTTGTAATGAATTTTCGGTGTCACTGTTTTTGTTTTGTCGTTTACACAGTTGTCACAAGAAAGCAAATGACAATAAGAGTAACTTTTTTCGGTTCTTTGCTTTATCTACTTTCGGAAGAAACTGATGCAATGAAGCACACGAGTTTAGTCAGCGTTTAGGGACAGGAGGGGTGGCGGAATAATTGCAGTTGAAGCTAGTGACGTCACAACAGCAGCCGCCGGCTGTGATTCATTTTGGCATTTGGTATACACATGACAATAATACACTCACATACACACACACAAACACGCACATGCCCAGGTGAATATGATGTGGCATTTAACAGTTAAATAGATAGAAACACAATTGCGAGCGGGAAACCAACCAAAGTTGCGTAGCACCGACTGCTGCGTATGCCCTGCTGTTGTTGTTGTTGTTGAGGTTGTATAAACTGCTGTTGATTTTTGGCCAACGAGAGCGCTCGTATATTGTGCAAAGTTTTATAGTTGCTGCCTCTAAACGCAACAACGAACGGCAACACTTTTAACATAACTTAATTACGTTTATGTTCTTATACACACGAATGCAATTACAAGGATTTTAACATGCCTTTTGCTTATTCAAATCCAAATTATTTAATTCCGACACCACGTTGTCACCCATTCCGATTCCACGTTGTTGTTGCTCTTGCAGCACGCTGTGTCTGTTAAACCAAAAGGTGGCCAAATGTTATTAACAGCGGCGGCAATTTGTTAATGGATATGCTGCAGCTACTCGTTTTTATCCTTGGAAATGATTTTAAGGTTTTAATTATAACCAAATCGTTTTTAACGTTACTATTTTTAGCAAAAGTGACTATAAAGGCCGAGTATTAAAATTAACAACAGCCGGCAGCATGTTGTTTTGAAAGAAGAAGGCGGGTAGCAGGGGTTTGCAGCATTGCCAACAGTAAAATAGGTAACTATCGAAAAGCTGAAGGGTAATCGATAATACCAGCTGATTTTTAATTGGCGCCCATTCGAACTCGAATGTCCTACATTCGCAGTTAATATTGATTTTTAACCTGCTGACATAATTAATGTCCTGGTGTTTATTTCCGATACAATTACGTAGAGTTAACGAGTTTTTTAACCTGCGGTTGCTTAAAAGCCAACAAAATTGCACATTTACTGGAAAACCCGTTGCACCACCAACCACCGCTATCGGGTGGCACAACGGAACGTCTTGGCGTAGAATTTGATTTCTACAACGTGGCCTCCAGCAAGGTACACCCCAGTCCGGGGGCAGCGCGCAGCGTTTGGGCGCTGCCCCTGACGGCCTCCTCGTCATGCAACATGGAGGAGGATGGTCACGCCCATGCGGACATTGATATTGACATCGATCATCGCCCGCACTCGCCGCCGGGCACCAACGGGCCAGCCAACAATGGAGATGGCAGCGAGCACGACAGCAACATGCTGTTATTTGAGGGCTTGGACGGCGCCACCGTTAATCTAGATGATATTTTCGATATTATCAAGAGCGGCGAGGTTAGCGAAGTGGAGAATCTGGTGGAGAAGTTTGGCATGGAATGCCTTTCGGCCAGAGATCGGCACGGCTATACGCCCGCTCACTGGATTGCGCTCAATGGCAATGTGCAGCTTATGCGTTACTTAATTGAACGCACGGCGCCCATTGATTTACCCTGTCTGGGCACACAGGGACCTCGACCCATACACTGGGCCTGCCGCAAGGGGCATGCCTCTGTGGTGCAGGTGCTGTTGCAGGCGGGCGTCGCTGTTAACGCGGCAGATTTCAAGGGACTCACGCCTCTGCACCTGGCCTGCATGTACGGACGCACTGCAACGGCTGCCTATCTGCTGGGCATGGGTGCGTTGAATAATCTAACGGACATCAATGGCGACACGGCGCTGCACTGGGCGGCATATAAGGGTCATGGCGATCTGATGCGTCTGCTCATGTATTCCGGCGTGGAGCTGCAGAAGACGGATAACTTTGGCTCGACGCCGCTGCATCTGGCCTGTCTCTCCGGGAACATCAATTGCGTGCGGCTACTGTGCGAGAAGTCACAGCTGGAGCTGGAGCCGCGGGATAAAAACGGCAAGACGCCCATTATGCTGGCACAGGCGCATCAGCATCAGGATGTGGTGCGTTTGCTCTATGGCGAGGTGAAGAAAAAGTCACGCTGGATACCATCCGTATCGGAAAGCTGGGGCTGGCTATTTGGCGGCGCCGGCGACTCCAAGGGACCGCTATTTCTCTTCCTCTTCTCGGTGCTGCTATGGGGCTATCCGATGTACATGATACGCGCCATACCCATCACGTGGAACATATTGAGGCGCTCGCATTATTGTTTCATCTACTGGAACGTAGTCATGTGGGTCAGCTGGGCCATCGCGAATCGTCGTGATCCCGGCTACATACCGCTCAGCTCGGATGCCTATTATCGCGCCATCAAGCAGATACCCTACTTCGACAAGCTGAAGAAACGCAATGTGATGCTCACCCGGCTGTGCCACAGCTGCCGCTGCCTGCGCCCGCTGCGTGCCAAGCACTGCCGTGTGTGCAATCGTTGCGTCTCGTACTTCGATCACCATTGCCCCTTCATCTACAATTGCGTTGGTCTGCGCAATCGCATGTGGTTCTTCCTGTTTGTCCTGTCGGTGGCCGTCAATTGCTCATTTACCATTTACTTTGCCTGCTACTGCGTCATGATCGAGGGATTCACACTGCTCTATGTGCTCGGGCTGATCGAGGCGGTCGTATTCTGCGGTTTGGGCTGGATACTCACCTGCACTTCGGTAGGGACACGTGGCTGCCTATATCTGAGGATTACTTAAACTGTTTTATTTTCCTTGCAGATCCTGCATGCCTGCATGAATCTCACCACGAACGAGATGTTCAACTACAAGCGTTATCCATATTTGCGGGATAAGCGCGGACGCTATCAGAATCCGTTCTCGCGCGGACCGATTTTGAACCTGCTGGAGTTCTTTGTTTGCCTGCCGGACCGAGGCGATGACAACGATTTGCTCTTAGAGGATAACATTTGATTAAGAAGCTAGGAGCGCGCTCATGCTCGCCGGCGCAAGGTGCCCGTGCGTGGATAATAGCGACAGTCACCGCTTCAAGGAGGCGGCTGTGCTTTGATTTTGCTCCAGGCTTTGTGCTTTAACTCGGCTTAGGCTCCATGGCGAAAGGTTTTTATCAATTGGTAAGCGGAATAGAAGTTGTCCTTGCAAAAGAATTGGTTTTTTTGGAAAGGTTAAAAATAGGTTTAAGCTCCAAGAAATTATTGTAAGTTTAAAAACTTTACCGTGCAGGAATTAGAACTTGATAAAGTTCCATTAAATTATAGATCTCTGGATAACACTAGAAATTATGCTCTGCAAAGATATGCGCTAGGTTTTATCTTATTATAAGCCTGCATAAATAATAATACGCTTCTCTTGTTAATTTTTGTACAAAATGGTTATGTATAAAACGTTGTATTTAATGAATCTCTATTAATATTATATACTTAATATAATTAACTTTAAAAAATGTATGTAAATGTTTACTAAATGGCTAAGCGGCGCTTTTGACCGCTCCATTTGTTCATTCGTTTAGACATTGCACAGTTTAATACTAAATCAGATCGGAGAGAAATGTTCTTCTCTATGTAATGGGTACACTTTGGCATGTATTTTGGGGTATGCTTCAATAATTTGGAACGAGTGATTATTGCAATAAAATTTAAAAAATAATAAAAACGAATACTGAGTATCTTTAACTTTCGAAACAAAAGTCATAGTTTTCGGGATCTTCGGGTATGGGCGGCGGATCCTTGCTAATGTCCACGCCCTCGGTATCGAGTAAACGCAATTTGATCTCCATGGAGAGCAGCGTGTCGAAGTCTTCTTTCTTTTGCTTGCTGCACATCTCCTGCCCAAGCAGCGCATTGATGCCGTCTGTCCAATAGTTGAAGATGCTCTCATCTGGCGCCACAAAGTCGAGCGTCGAGTGATCCATGCACTCGAATGTTATGGAAAATGCAAAATTTACCGGCGATTTACGCGTGCGCGCCTCCTTCATGTGCGGGCACTCTTTGCCCTCCAGCAGCTGTTTGATATCAATAATGGGCAACTTTTTGGGAAGCTCCTCCAGCGTGGGTATGTTCTTCTCATCACAGTCGCCATAGTGTATGACCTTGTGATTGGGCGACAGACGTGCATACCAGAACTTGTCCTTGGTGCGTGTGCCACGCAAATATTTGGCGAAACGTGTGCCTGCCGAGAAAGGAACGAATTAGTCAGTGTTTAGGAGATTAGGAACAGGTTCCATACCTTCCACCAGAAATGAGAGACGCTGCTGCTTGATTAGCTCCACAATTTGTGGGGATATTTTCTCTTTGAGCTTCACAATGGCCGAGGCCGTCGAATCGCATTCCTCCTTTGAGGTGCGCTCCTGTTGGCGCAACGTCGTGATCTGCTGATATGTTAGCAATGCAATCTTGCTGCGAAAGTCCTCCAGGTTTTCTGGACGCAGTTTCAGGGTGCGTTGTATTTGCTCGCGCACCACACTGCACACCTTCTGAAAGTCCTCGGCGGTGGCGCGCATATCCTTCCAGGTGCGATTTAGCGTGATGACACAAATGCAAAAGAACTCCTCGAAGGGCTGATCGTGCGTAAAGAACATGGGCTGAAAGTCGCCCGATTGTTCAGCGGGTGGCTCGCCTATGCGCAAAATAAGGCACAGCACCTTCACCAGCTCGATTGAGGTGCGGCCAAACGGGCACTCGTGCTCATCCGCACGGCAGGAGTTCTCGTGCACAATCTTCGTGTACTGCTGAGTGTAGTTGCGCGCAAAATAGACCATGCAGTCCAGCGCCAGAATGCCTGTAAGGATATAGGTGAAATTAGAGACTAGTTAATATGGAGCGGAGTTTCTGGTTACCCGGTGGCGTTTCAATAAAGTCCTGAGCCGGATTGATGTCGCATTTAAAGCCCAGTTTCTTATAGTACTGCGAAAAGTTGACATTGCCAGCGCCGGAGCCACCGCCGCTGCCCCCGCGACGTATGTGCTCATCGTTGAGACTGAGCGTGCCAGCATAATCATCAAAGGCAATGCGACGCAGCTCCTTGATCTTCTCGTGCGCATCCTGATCCTGGGCATTCATTTTCATGCGCATGCGCTTCTCCAGCAAGCCCAGCGTCAAGGTCTGCAGCACGTACAGCTGGTGGGTCATCTCGGTGCTCAGCCCGTTGCCAATCAGGGCCAGGCGGTATTGTTTGGCGCTTATCGTGTGGGCAATGGCGCGCTTGCGCGGCTCCTCGGCCTTCATGAAGAGGGCATTGAGCAGCGCAATGGCATTCTGTCGCATCACCGGCGAGTTGACCTCCTGCAGCAGACGCAGTATATCCTGCAGTTTAATTTCCTCCGCCACCAGAACATATTTGCTGCTGCTCTGCACAATATTCTCGAGATTCGAGAGCGCACTCTCGCCGCACTTGGCAGGGTACTTTTGGAAATTGCGCACAATTTCAATGTTGCGTGCCACAAAGCTGCTCTCTGGCACCTCCCAGGACACGGTGCCGTGCTCCATTAACTCCACAAAGCTAGCCAGGCTATACTTTAGTATTTCTTCGTCCTTTTGATTGACATCCTCGATCATTTTGATGAGTATGTCCAGGCCCTTCTCCTTGATAAACTCCAGCGCAAAAGTGTGATCCATGCTAAGCGATGTCAGCTCCTTGAGACGCTGCGCCTTGTCCTGCGCGCTGCCATTTATCAGCGTTTCAAGCGCATCGCTGGCCGTCTTCGAGGGTGAATACTGTAGACGCAGCACGGAGCCGTTTTTAATCTCATTGCGATTCTTTTCCGTCACATATTTCATATTGTTTGTTTCGCAGAACTGCAGAGCATAGTTCTGATGATCGCTTATGGACCAGCTGTTGCAGATTTCCTGGATTTTACCTGTGAGTTGAAAGATTATTATTATTATTTGTATAGTTGGTCCATATAACTTTATCTTCTGGCATTAAAAAGTGAACGTTTCCTAGTATGGGGGACACTTAAGTTGAAGAAAATTAAGAGACAAAATAAAAGTTGGGTCCCTCCACAATTCATGATTAACGTCCACCAACATTTCCTGTCGCTTCCGTGCATTTTAATGAGGGCAGCTCATGCTGACATCACAAGCTCAACCGCAAAGGGCGTTGGCGCTGGATTTTGCTTGAGCTTAACAAAACCCTCTCAAATCATCACAAAAACATTTATATTGTCTGCTGCCTTAACATACAACAATTGCATGTCTCGCGAATAACATTATTTATTGTTTTTAACGCTATCCAACTTATATTTATACACATACTTGCAAGCGGATGTCTTTGATCGAGGTTTATTAACTGCGCCATATGATTCTCGCGCTCAACGGCTATTTTAACTATATGCGCATCTTTTACCGGCATCTTTTTCGGTATCATTTTGACCACAGCAGCTTAGTATAGCTGTATTAACTAAACTTATTGTTGGTTTTGCAGCAGTGCGAAGTTTTGTGATAAATTGGTTATTATGGATATTTTTCTTATCGATAATTCGATAACGCAAAGAAGTACACGCGATAGTTTTTAGCCAGGGCTTCATAGCACCTTGTATTATCGTTTCAATTTATCTGTTGCTTGCGCGCAATTCATTTCAATTAAAATGTATAAAAAGCTACTTTATTCTTGAAATAAAATAATGTACAAAATTTACTTATAATGACGTCAGCAACTTGAGCAGTTCGCCCACAACGCGAACATTTATACTATTGCCCAGTAGTCGATACCTTTGACGATTAGTTGTTTCGGCGGGAAATTCAAAATCTTCAGGAAAACTCATAAGCCGCGCCACTTCTTTGGGCGTAAAGTAGCGCAATTTTACTTCTCTTAAAAGTTCAAGACGCCGGTGTTGCGCCGCTTCACAGTTCGTGTTTTTAGGATCCATGTCAATTTCTTTAACTGACTCGAATATGCTATGGGACTCCGCTTCAGAAAGTGGAGTAAAAGCCGAACCGGTTCCTTCTGTGTAGTGGGTATATCCTTTTGTAAAGCACATAGACCTGCTCTGTGATGGGTGAATGATGTCCATGACAAGAACCCGCTTGGTAAGCACGTCATCCGGCACAAGTGTTTCAGCAGGCACATTAGGCTCTACAATTGTGGATATTTTGCACGTAGAGTGCTGAGTCGAATCAGCTTTTGCGCCTGGCATATGCTCCCAGATTTTCCCCGCTTCAAAATCGAAATCTTTGCTCTTGCGCGCAATGCAATAGTACCGATGCCGAGTATTGGGCACATTGAACTGTGTGGGAGTTAAAATAAACTCACGCCAGTGGTAACTAGCTTTTTCTAGAGCTTCAATAAATTGTTTGCGCGCCTGAGATCCTTCAAATCCCTTGACATTCTCCATTAGCACGTATTCAAGCGTTTCGCATTGTGGTATCAGAGAGCAGAGGTGGGACAGGGCACAGGAGCGCTTGTCGTCCACGTCGCGCTGCAGGCCTTGGCGCGTATGCGGTTGACATGGTGGCGACATAAGCAGCATATTGGCATGCAGTTTGCTCACCTCCTTCTCACTTAAGCTCTGGATATTCCTGGTCTTCACGTTTGTACTACCAAAATTATGTGCATAAACTGCATTGGCTACAGTATTTACATCCAAAGCGGCAACCACTTCGCCGGGCAGCTGAGCATCTGCAAATTTAATGATACAAGGCGTTTGAAGGTTTTATATTTAATAACTTACATTTAAAAGCATAATGCATGCCGCCAATGCCGCTAAATAATTCCAATACACGAAATTCCATTATTTTACGTTTGTTTATGTTTAAAAAGCACGCTGTAAAGCAGCTGTTTGCCATTCACCGCACGCACCTGTGTGAATGGCAAATCTGTTAAGAAGCAGAACGTCAACACGTGCCGCTCGGCTATAGTTTGGTATATTTCTAGTTTATTAATTAGAAGAGAATATGGGTAAAATAAAAAGGAAACCACAGCCCCAACCCGTGGAACAGGATTCAGATAGCGACTCCAGCTTTGCAGACGAGGAAGTGAATGAGGCCGAGAAGCCTGCACAGGAGCCAGTCACTGACAGCAGCGATGATAGCGACATGGAAATGGACGAAAAATCAGAGAAGAAGGAGCAGGAGCCAGAAGCTGAAGCCGGCTCTGCTGAAGAAAGTGATGATGATGATGACGAAGAGGATGAAGATGAGGACGACGAAGATGATAAAAAGGCGCGCCTGCCAGTGCTGAATCCTCTGAGCTTGATGAAAAACAAAGAACAGCGCATGGCGCTCTATCGTAAAATGAAAAAGGAAAAGCACAAGAAAAAGATGCAGGAGCGACGAGCACGTCGCAAGGCGGGCGTGCCAGCTAATCCGGGACACACCATAGAAAGTCTGCGCGAGAAAGATCAAACCGAGGTGAGCAATCTCAACGATTCCGATAACGAGGAACTGCGCAAGGAGCTGGAGATCGACGATTTCAGTACGTACTTCGAACGTATATACGAGCCAAAGGTGCTCATCACCTTCGCCGATAACCCGGTGACAAAAACTCGCAAATTTGGCTTAGAGCTATCGCGCATATTTCCCAATGCGCTGGTCAAGATACGCAACAAGGCGTCGGTGAAGACAATCTGCAAAAGCGCCGAGCGGGAGCAGTTCACAGATGTGGTCATTGTCAATGAAGATCGACGTAAGCCCAACGGATTGCTGGTCATACACTTGCCCAACGGACCGACGGCGCATTTTAAGGTGTCCAATGTAAAGCTGACTTCGGACATAAAGCGCAACCACAAGGAGATAACCAAGCATCGACCGGAGGTTATACTAACCAATTTTACAACTCGTCTGGGTCTAACAGTGGGTCGCATGCTGGGCGCTCTGTTCCATCATGACCCGGAATTCCGTGGCCGACGCGCCGTCACCTTTCACAATCAGCGCGATTATATATTCTTTCGGCACCATCGGTACGAGTTCTCCAAGGAGGGCAAGCGCGTCAAGCTGCGCGAATTGGGGCCACGCTTTACGCTCAAGTTACGCTCCCTGCAGGAGGGAACCTTCGACAGCAAAACGGGCGACTACGCTTGGATCATAAGCAATAAGCGGCATGCCATGGAGTCCAGGCGTCGCTTCTTCCTTTAGTTTAAGACTCTTGCTTTCGATTTGAAATATGTTAATATTTTGTGTTACGTAGAGAACATAAATAAACGATAAGGGAAATATAAAACAAATTTTCTTCATGTATAACCACCAAACACTAATCATCACATGATGTCGATTAAAATTACAATTAATTGATCTCCCTATGCCTAAATGTGCAACATTCAACAGATAGTGGCGCACTCGGCCATTGGCACTCCACCAGGAACGACACAGCTCCAAATACCGCAAATTACATGGTTGGGCATTGAGGATTTGGAATACCACCAGCTGCTGTGGCATCCCCAAACGGCAGATCTCCGCCCGTCTCGGCCAGTATTTCTGCTGGCGGCTGTCCATAATCCTGCAGCTTACGCATATCATCCAGCACCACGCGGAATTTCTCACGTTTTACGGTGGCAGTGTCATCGGGCTTTTCGCTCTGCAAATGGCCCTCAATAATCTTGTAGAGCTCAAACTGTTTTTGGTATCTGCAAAAGACAGAAGTTGAGAGTAAATAAGCTGTAAGTGTGATAAAAGTTCCTACTACATTTAATATGAAATAGGGAACTATAAAGAAATCGAGAGCTAACTGGAGAAAGAATAGGTGTACAGTGAAAGCCCTACTAACGGACAGCTCTCTTGGAACTTCATAGAACTTTCACTGTATATGTAATTTTATGTAAATATTATTGAGTCACGCCGTCGTCAACTGTTGTTCAGCAACAGGGCGGGGTCGGTAATAATATATATGTAATATTATGACAATACCTCTCCTTATCTTCAGCTGAAAGCTTTGAGTCATTCTCCTCGAGATATTTTGGATACTTTTCCAGCAGCTCCTTAATGCTAGGCAGTAGGATCTCGGCGGAGAGCAGGCTCTGCATCATACCCTCCATAAAAGGCAGGAAAGTATTGCCATCAGCATCGCCACCCTGAAATTCGAGAGACCATTTTTATTATTAATCCGTAGATGGGTATTCGCACAGCGCATACCTCCAAATTCATGGAGCCAAACATGCTGGCTATGTCGTTCTCCGATGCTGGTGCTGCCAGATTTTCGGTGCCCTCTTGCAGACCCTATACAAAGAAATACATATTAATAAATGTCTATAAATCTTGGTGAGCAACGCACTTTCAAGGCCTGGGAAATGCTGTCTGAATACTTGGAGACTTCGTCGTCGTTGGCAGTGTTATCACCACTCAGTGTCAGGGCGGCCGCTTCGGCCATTTTCTTGAAACCGGCCATTATTTGATCCGGATCCTGTGGCATTGGTGGTATATCGCCGCTGGGCGTGTCTGGCCCGCCGAACAGTGTGTTCATGCGATCCGCTAAGATTTTCGCTTGTTCGCTGCAATTCCAAAGTTCAAGTGATACGAATGACAGGCAACAATGTTTTCTACTTACATGAAAAATGCATCGGGATCGTCGCCGCCCTCGCCGGCTGCAACTGCTGTGCCATCCGTAGCCACGGGCTTTTCCGGCTTGGCCCCGCTCTTGCTTTTGTCAAAGTCCTGCAGGGCATCTGCGAAGTGTAATGGATGTTTGTTATATAAGTTGTAAGGGAGGCTGCTTCTGCATTTCTTTTTGACACCCACTGTCGAGCAGTTCGTTCAGGTCATCACCATCTCCGTTTTGCTTTTGTTCGGACATTATGTTTAATTTATGTGAAGTAAATGATTTAATTACTGAAAAAAACTATGTAACACTTCTTGTTTTGACTTGACACAAGGTGTGTGCATGTGTGTGTGCGAGTGTATGAAAGTAACGTGTGTGGCCCTTATTATTAGCTTATCGCAACCGATGCTTGTCAATGTTATCGATGGTATGACCGACTTGAACCGTAATTCATAATTCTTGCCATAATAACCCCAACCAGAATTATCAACAAGAATATTTGCTTCTTATTACGTCTATTTATACACCAATTTTAAAAAAAATTTTTTAGGGAAAGGTGAAGAAAATAAATACTTTGAAATCGTGCCGATGCTTAGATAGTTCCGATTTTTATTTTCGCATCCAAGTACCAAAAATCGACGCTAAGTCACCGCCGCTAATTTGACGCAAGTGCGAATGCAGCAGAAATATCGATAATTAAGCAGAAAACGTATCAATCGATAATTGCCAATCTCTAATTTTCCATACAGTCATAACATAAATAAATAAAAAAGAGGAAGAGCGAACGTAAAAAACAATAATACTTTAAAAATCTTTGAGCTGATATAAATATAAAATGGGTTGCGATGGTGGCACTATACCCAAGCGGGATGAGCTGGTGCGCGTCAAGCAAAAGCCAGAACAGGTAAGGCAATTTGATGAATCAAGGTGTTCGTTTATCTCATAATCTGAAATTCCCGCAGAAAGACAAAGACGCAGAGCGAGAATTTCGTTGGTTGCACTGTGCGCTGACCCAGCAGCGTTTGCAGGAACCAATTGCTATGTGCACAATGGGACGCCTGTATTCCAAGCAGAGCGTCATCGAACGTTTGCTAGAGAAGGTGGAAATGCCCGAGATCTCGGCGCACGTGCGCAGTCTGAAGGACATCAAGACGCTGCAACTAACTCCAAATCCAGCATTCACGGATGAGGACAAGACCGAGGGTCTGCTGGACACACGGCATGCGCCTTACATCTGCAAACTAATTGGTCTGGAGATGTCGGGCAAGTTCCGCTTTGTTGCGCTGTGGACCTGCGGCTGCGTTATGTCAGAGCGGGCCCTGAAACAGCTCAAAGGCAACATGGCCAGTGTGTGTCCACTTTGCCAGGCACCCTACAGCGTGGAGGACGTCATTGTGCTTAATGGCAATGATGAGGATTTGGAGCTTATGAAAGTTAAGTGTGAAATGCGTACTGCTAAGCGCAAGTCCGCCAAGAAGGACAAAAAGGATGCAAAGAAAACAGAAACCTGTGTAAAATCAGAAACCGCTGATGCAGCTGCCTCTACCTCCACTAAGATAAACAAGACCTCCACCAGCAATGGAAACGCGAACAAACTGAAAATTGCAGCCAATCCCAAGCGCCTGGGCGCGGTTAATGCAATGCAAGATCCAGAATTAAAGCGCCTTAAGACAGACTTCAGTGTAGCCAAAGACCCGAAGGCCAGCGATGTGTACAAATCTCTGTTTACCAGTCACAAAACCGACAAGGAACAGGAGCGCGCTCACTGGATCACCTACAATCCGTTCTACAATTAGTCGCCTCTCCCCCCAAATAGTTGTAAACTCTAAACTTAAAACAATTTAGTTTGCCGTACGTTTTCAATCATTGTATCCATTTGGTTGTACTGAGACAATTCAGTAGCTGCCGTTTCATTTTACAAATAGTAACTGATATAAATTACACAAAATATTTCAATATGTATCGCGCGTCATATCAAAAGGGATTCCTGACGATACTTTACAGTGTGGGCAGCTCTCCACTGGACAAATGGTCCACATATGTAAGTCTATCAAAAAACCTTTTAATAGCGAACAGCTATAATTTGTACTGCACCCATAGACTAAAAATGGTTATATTAAACGTATTTATGATGAAGACATTAAATCTTTGGTGCTGGAAATAATGGGGTCTAATGTGTCAACTACATTTATACATTGTCCAAGCGATTGCAAGGCAGAGCTGGGCATTAAGTTGCCATTTTTGGTGCTGCTCATTAAAAACATGCACAAATATTTTTGCTTTGAAGTTAAGGTGAGCTTTCTGCAAATATATATTGGGGTTCATACTAAGATTGTTTGACTGTTTGCAGATTCAGGACGATCAGCGTTTTATGCGACGCTTCCGCGTTTCCAATTTCCAGAGCAAGACATCGGTGAAGCCGTTCTGCACGGCCATGCCCATGGGCATGTCCCCAGGCTGGAATCAAATACAATTCAATTTGGCCGATTTTACACGTCGCGCCTATGGCTCGAACTATTTGGAGACCGTTTCGCTGCAGGTCCATGCCAACGTACGCATCAGACGCGTTTATTTCACTGACAAACTTTACACGGAAGCTGAACTACCCAACGATTATAAGCTGCTGGGCAAGCCCAAGGATTTGAAGAAAGAGAAACAATTCAAAGCTCCGCCAACAGCGCGTCCACCATCGCCACTCAATACGGGACGGGCCGAGGCCACAGCCAAAACCGAAGAATCGGCTGTGGGCCAAGACACGGAGACTGAGATGATGGATATGGGTCCACCGGAGGTAAAACAGGCGCCAGCCCCTGAAATCGCTGAACCCGAAGCAGCTCCCGTCGTATCTGAGGAGCCGCCTGCACAAACCGAGCCCACCGAGGATGCGTATTATTATTAAGGTTATTTTAATGTTTATGTTAAATGTTTTACCTAGTTTTATTTGTGCACGCAACTGGACAGAGGCATGGCCGAGTAACAACCAAATTAGTTAGTCGTAGATATAATAGTTAATTTAATGCAAGACTCGACTCAAAAATATCCTTGTTTTTGTTTATTAACGATCCAAAGGGTTGACTTATCCCTCTGGTGGCCGTAAAAAGCTTATTGAGGATGATAACGATAACGAAATCTTTTGATTTACTTTACTTTACTTTATTTTGTGTTATTTTTGATGTATACTTAAAATTTACCATTAAGGGTGTGTGGCACATTCCATAAAAGTTGTGGGCGTGGCAGAGTAACAACTAAAGTACAATACGTAGACATAATAGTTTATTTATTGCAAGACTCGACTCAAAACAAATTTGGTTTTTTTTGTTAAAATACGTCGTCTAAATTTTGCTAATAGGTAACCTTACAAAACGCACGCTTATCGGCTATCTGTTTCCGTTTGCGTTTCTTTGGACGCAGCTAGGATGCGCTGGCTTCGTTGGCGATGCTCATCATGTCCGCATCGATGTTCTTAAGAGCATTGTGATATTCTGTGATCTCCAGTGCCTCCCATTCGGCCTTGAATGCCGCCTTGGGATCTTGGGGCATTGTCATGGCTGCGCCGGTCATTGCATCGGCCTGAGCTTGTGTCTGATCCGCATGGTTGTTCTCACCCAGCACAAGGGTGTAAATGGAGCGCAGGCCAAAGACGTTCAGGAAATACCATGAAGCCGATGACACCCAGGCAGCATCCAGTGAAGCCAGCTCCACGCCGCGCTGCAGCATGGGCTTGAAGCGCAGTGTTAGGGGGAAGGGAACTTTGGTGGTCACAAATCCAGAGAACATCCAGTTGATCCAGCCACCAATAACGACCATGGGCAGCACATTAATAAAGTTGCCCTTAACCATGTCTGTCAGCATGGCTGAAGAGTTTTGCGCAACCGGCGCCCGTTTTTGTGTCTTAAAATAGCCCGTTTCCTCGTTGTTGAAGAAGTTCTTCCTCATGGAGAACGACTGGGCACTTAGATATTTACCATTCTCGCGCAGCAATCGAGCGCGGATCATGGCTTGACTGTGACAACGAACACAAAACACATTTTTTTACATTAAAAAAACCAATTACAGAAGTGAACCTTGCTCACCTGTCCATGATTTGGGTCATCTCAGCCTTTTTCTGTGTGGATATCAGAATGGACACGTAATGTCGCACAATACCAACTAAAAATGTGATGAGCACGATGGGCAAAAACACCCAAACGCGTATATCCGGATCTATTAACAGCTCCGTCATATTTAATTAATAATTCAATTTAATATTTAACAATTTTTTCAGCACCCGTAGAAGGCTACTCGGTGCTAGAGATGTGTATTGAAGATGAGCAATATCGATTTAATTGAGTAACAATGACCGACAGTTATCGTTGCACGGAGTTACCCTAATGTATATTTTTTATTCGGAGCGGCAACCTAAAATGTACGTGGAAATTTTTTGTAGGTTTCCAATGAAACTGTGACCGAATAGTCAAAGTAGCTCGTTACCAATTCGTTTGGTGGGCTATCGCCAATCGACATTAATAGTCTCAAGCAAGTGGATATCTATGGTAGCTATGTATTTTCTAATTAAAATTACAAAATATGTATGAGTTATATTATATTGGAAATAAAGGACTTATTATTATATGCGCTTATACTAAATTAAACAATTACATTTTGCCATGAAGATGCTTATTGGATATTGTTAAGTCTTTGCCGTCATACACGATGTTTTCATAAAAGAACTTTCTATTAACGCGACACTGCGGACCACATCTGGGTGAGCCACAACTACGGCACTCGTACCAACATCCATCACATTCTTCGTTCATGCAATCGCAAACGTCTAACCCATTGGATCTAATATTTCCATACTCATCGTAGGCGCTGCTTTTTCCATAATAGCAACCTTTCTTTTTTCCTCTGCGCTTTGTCTTCTCTGCCTCAGTACTACTACTATCGTCAATGGTTTCTTTTGGACGCTGTGGACGCTGACGCAAGCTTCGAGCACTCATTGCTAATCCTTTTTATTAAACAGTAGAATTTGCAAAGTAGATCTATTCTTGTGGAATTGGGTAAACAAATCAGATGGGCTGATTTATCGGTAATTGGTAATGTATCGGCCGTCCCCTAATTGTTATCGGCAGACCATATTTCTTGTATTCTGATTGTCGGCGTGGAGTGTGACCATCTGAATATACAATATTGGTGCCACATATAGCCAAGTCAAATATTCACCTCCTGCGACGCCAGTGAAATTGTTTGATTTATTGAAGTATCAAAGTGATTGTAGAAATGGAGGCCAAAGACGATTCGCCACCGACATCAACGAATCCGCCTCCAACTACAGAGGCAGCTAAGGATACAGCCAGTGCCGTTGTCGCTGCTGCTGCCGCTGCCAGTAACAATACACAAGCTCCAGCAAATTCGGCGGCAACTGCAACAACAGCAGCCCCGCCACCAGCAACAAGCAATAATTCCAGCTCTAACGCAGCAGCAGCTGCAGTAACAGCAGCACCGACAGCATCGACGACATCAGCAAGCACCGCGCAGCAGCCACCGCCGGCCAAAAAGCCAAGTGCTCCACCTGCGCCGCGTGCCGATCCCAGCGCGCTGCCAACGCGCCAATATCTTGATCAGACCGTGGCCCCCGTTTTGCTGCACGGCTTGCAGGCATTGGCACGTGAGCGGCCCACGGATCCCATACAATTTCTGGCCTCGTACTTGCTAAAGCACAGTAATGGCTGCGAGGAGCCAGTTGCCAACGAGGCCAGTACTTAGGTGTAGTTTCTCGTTTCTGTTCCCTATATCCCGTTGCCCTAGCTCTGTAAGTGAAAGTCCCCAATAAATGTTTAAAATTACATAAAACTATAATAATAAATCGCTGTTGCGCACCGTTCACTTAAATAATAAGACAGCAATTTGCATTTAGGCAGTGATGGGATATCCCCAAGGATCCAGTTTACAATTGAGCAGCTGCAGCGAGGTGTCCGCAATCTTGGCCAGCAGCTCGGCCAGCTTGTGCTTGGTGTACACCTTGTACAGCTGTCGACGCTCATCGGCAATCTCGTCCGCCAAGCGAATACAGCCTGGATGATCGCGCGATTTCGCCATGACCTCATGCAGAAGCAACACAATCTCTGGCAGGCAAATCGAACGCAATTTTTCCATTTGCAGCAGACGATTCTCCCAGTGCAGCAGCGCTGCATTCTCCGGCTCCTTGGCAATAAAGGGATCATTGAGCCAGCCCTTTTCCGGAAACAGCAGCACATTAAACAGTGCATCCGTGGTCACTGGTGGGGTAAACAGACGATTAGTAAAAATGAAAGTCAGGTTTGATTTGTGTCTTACTTTTAGACTGTTCCTTGACCTTCTGCTCCCAGCGCGCCAATTCAGTGAGATAGGTTTGCTCCTTGTGCTGCGCATTCATGCGTTCAGTGAAGTTGTCCTGCGTTTGGCCGGAATTCTGTGTGCCCTTTTGAGGTGGCTGAGGGCGCGCTTGCTGCAGGCGGGTCCAATCATTGAAACTGTCCACGCCAGCCAAATAAACCTTGTAGCACAGGTACTCCTTGAGGCTGCACTCTTCGCGAGGTCCCAGGTTGTCCAGAGCACCATAAATATTGATCAGCTGACTAGTCACATCGCCGGGCACCATGGCAAACACCTGACGCACACACTCAATTTTGTTGCTGGCCAAATAGTGGCGCATCATAGCATTGGCCTGCCAGAGCAGCTCGCCGCGCTGCTCGACCAAATGAATCAGATACTCGAGCGACTGAATCTTGCGCTTGTCGGCTGCAGATATCGAACCGGTGGGCGGCTCACCTTGTATGCCGGGTGGCGTGCTGCCCAGACGAATGCTTTCCACAGTATGCCGTGTTATTTGCTCCACGTCGAGGCCTGCCTGCATAGCCGCATCTAGCGCCTGTTGACGCAGTCGCTTCTCATCAATTTGTGTCAGAAACTTTGCATAGAGCTGCACCTGCAGCTTGTTGGGCAAGCCCGCCGCATAGTAGGCAATGGGCTGGGGCTCTCCGCGCTGGATTAGTGATTCCACATAGGCAGCGATAATGCGTTCCGCCTGCTGCTGCTGCGGCTGCTGCTCGACTCGTCCAATCTGGCGCATGAAAAGCACAATGTGCGCCATGAAGCGCAGCTGATGCGGCGGCAGCTGCGCCTCCTTGGGCACGGCGTCCAGCCAGCGGCACATATGCTGCAACAGCTCGCCGCACGTATCTAGTATGATGTGCTGCTGGATGACGCCGAGTTGGCACTGGGCATAGTCGCGCACAGACACGTCCTTGGCCACGCTCAGCTCATCGAAGATCTGCTCCAGCGTCATTTTGCCATTCCAATACTCATCCGGCATGGGCTGATAGCGTTTCATGCAGCATCCCCTAATCTCGCTCTCGACGCGTATGTCTATTTGCACCTTGATATACGCCCATAGCAGATCGTGCCAGCTGCTGTGCAGCAGAGATTTCAGCGCTCCCAAGTGACCACAGAACACGGCCGCTGTGGCGCGTGTGTACTCATCGTATTTCTTGGAATCGGCCAGTAGCCAGGCACAACGCTTCCAAATATCGCGACGGGGATTGCCTTCGATGGGCAGCTTCTCGTGCGACTGCCCGGCCACGTGCTGTTCAAAATTGGGATCCTCGTGCAGACGCCAGCCCTCCAAGATGGCTGCCCGCCAGGTTTGGCCAAAGTGTTTGCACAGCTTCAGCGCCTCATCGATGTGTCCGTTTCGTATGGCAGCGAAAATGGCGCGACCCAAACGCAAATTGTCCTCCGTGTCGAGGGCGTGCAGCGGTTTACCCTCACGCACCGGCGCGTCCGGATCTAGTTGCTTGCATATCTCATGGCCACGTCCAAAGGCGGCACCCTGCAGATTCTCTAGCTGGAAGAGCGTATTTTCCCAGGCCATCATGCGGTCGTGACTCTGCAGCGCGTTCGCCTGATCCTTCTGCTCGTAGCATTTCTCCAGCCAGTCAACCACCAGCTGATACTCACGCAGCTGCGCATTTATGGAATACAGCTGCTGGATAACCTGTTAAAAGCGCATTTCAATTAAATACACGAATTCGAATGCTCATTTTATACGCACCTCTTTTTCACTACCGCCCAGCATGGGTCCATCCTGCATTTCATCATCCGCCTGCGTATCAGCCTGCAGCAACAGTCGATCGTAGTATAGTGCGTGGAGCAGGCGCCAGGTGTTGATTTCCTGCTTTAACCACTTGACGCTAGACTCGCGCTGCTTGGTGCCATGGTTGCCGCCCACGCCACGCTCGATGTCCAGCTCCAGCTGTTCGACAACCTGTTGACAAGCTTGCGCCATCAGCTGCACCACATCCAGGGTGTCGTTGGTGTTGTTATGAGCGTGAAGCACTTCGTAGAAGTGTGCAAAGAGAATGTCGGTTTTGGCGCGTCCATGATCCGCTTCATCGATGTCGTCCGCCATAAGTGTGCTGTCGCCGCTCAGGCTGGTCAGATCGTTGGCGTTGACCGTACGACTTTGCAAAGACCTCAAGAGTCCCAGAGCTCCCGAGCTGCTGTTTCTAAACATGTCCTGCTCATCCGGCAGCAGCGTTATCGAGAGATTGTTTGCCTGGCTATTTGCTGTGCTATTTAAGGGCAGGCGCAGCAGGCTGCTGCGTCTGTGCTGGAACGGACTTTCCATTGATAACTGTTTATATTTAAATAATAATTGTATTAACTATCCACACGCGACAAAAATGCCGGGACTCTGCTTTGCAATCTAGCTCAACACTATATTCTGACTGCCTTGCAACACTGGTTACGTTTGATATGCACCTCAAATATTTTGCTTACAAGCAGCCAAATTATATAAAATATATAATATATTATATAATATTTATTGACGAAACTATTTAAATAAATTATTTTGTAGTGTGTTAACTAATATGTTAAGACTTAGATTGGAATTATCAAAACAAATAATCGTACACAGATTGTATGGAAAAACAACTGAAAATAACAAAATTCTAAACCTGCTTTTATTAATATATATCATTTTTTTTTAGCATATTATAAGCAATTTATATTTTCTAAGACATTTCATCTCAAAAGTCTAGTCGGAATATATAAAATATGATATAACAATTTTTGGCTTGTCATACATTTTTTGCGATCAGCATACGGGCCTGTGAAATAAAAATGAGTGTCATACCTCGACATGCAACATCTAGTTGTCAACTAAATTGGAACGTGTCTGCGCCACAAAATAAAAGTAAGCGTCGTTTTTATTATTTTGTTGTTACAATAAAAGGACTTTTTTGTGTAATGTAATGCTTAAATTACACGCACTGGCAGTGCACCGCCGCTTGTTTGGCGAAAATACAGTGGTAAATTGTATCAAATTATGGTGAGGCACAGGCCAAATTGTTAGACGCTAATTGTGTAAATAAATGTATTACAACTGTAAACCTGAATTTTACTGTAGTGCAGTTAAATAACCACATGTATAGTTTATATGATAAACAAAGAGTTTTTTTAATGGCATCTAGCTACAATTGTTAATACCCAAATTAAATCTATGAAAAATAACTAAAAACAACACAACAAAAGGTAAGAACCGGAAATTGATTTTTACCCGCATACTTAAGTACATATTTATGTATGCATGTATACATACACATACACATTCTCATAAGTATGTGCATACATAAATGTATATACATATACATATGTCAGTATGTACTTACATATGTATCTAAGATAAATACACTTTTCTAACAAATCAACTACTTGCTTAGTCAGTGTAGACGCAGGGAAAAAACGAACAATTCGAGCATATAAATAGTATTTATGCAATTTGTACACAGAAAATCTTTACAAAACACAAATATATAGAGTTCGTATGGTACATGTGTGTTAAAAAATTGTATACATATGATTTTTTTCATTGACATTATAGATTATAATTACCTTCAGCTAAATATCACGAAGTACTTAGCCAAGCCCGGGGCTTGAACCCGGCTGAGTGGGTCGCTTAGACAAGTCAGCTATAAAGGTAATATTTTAGAGGAAGTTAATAAACCACGATAGTATATGTAAGCTCTAGAGTTAGTGAAAATACTGTGGAATTTCGCATAGTTATAAAAATAAAGTATGGGTATTTCTAGCAGCAGGTCCACCATGACTAATATTTAAATGAACGTTTTTCCCATTTTTATTATAATAATAATACCTATAATTTTGTTTTTAAGGTAACTCGAAGTGCAAAGTGGCTATTTTCTTATCCAAAAAGGCTTCGAAGTAAACAAACTAGTTTTGCAGTTTAAATAAGTTCCCGTTATTTTAAATTATAACCTCCAAATAATTAGGGAAAAATCCCAAAATACATATAATATGGTTTACTATAATCCCATATTTCCCACTAAAATGAACCCAGGGGAAATACGGATTTATTTTTTGTTTGTCTTCATAATTGCGCATTCTAATTAAATTAACAAAGAAAAAGAAGGTCATAGGCAGCACATGAATATGACGAATCTGCCCTATATTGAATTTATTTATTTGGAGTAGATATCCTCCCTTTAGTATATATTTTTGATGTATATTCAACCAACTAGATATGTATCTTCCAGGGCTATGTTTCGATTCGTTTAATGCAATCTTAGCACATCAGAAGGGGATCCGATATATTGGTAGCTTATTCTGTCCCCAAATGCCTAAACCTTATTTTACTCATTGCAATATTTGTTTTATTTTGTTTTGTTTATTCAAGCCTTAACAACCGCAACGCTATAAGGAACGATGGCCGTGCAGTTGAAGAATGCGTATCATCATTTGCCGCTGACCATAACGCCGATACTCTGCCAGCCGCTGCTGACGCCGGCGCCGACGCCGCCGAAGCCGGAGCCGCCAGATTTGACGTTTCATTGCATGTGCTGTGCCGAGTATTTTGTGCATCCGCTCGCGCTCTACCAGCACATGAACAGCAAGCATCCAAATGAGGCGACGCCACAGCAACAGCAGCAGCAACAGGAGCAGGCCGCGCAGCAGGCGGCTGAAGATGACAGCACAGACTACAGCTGGATATTCGAGCCGGTCTGCGAACTGGAGGTGGCGGCTGATGTGGCACCATTGCGCAGCGACGATGACAGCGACTCCAACAGCGATGATGACGCGGAGGAGGGCAGCGACGCGGAGAGCGACAATGATAGCGACAGCAGTAGCAGCAGCAACAGCAGCAGCAGCAGCTCCAGCAGCAGTACCAGCAGCAGCGGCGGCGGCGGCGGCGGCAACAGCAACTCCAATACCCAGCAGAGTCTGGAGAATGGTGCCTACGTGGAGGTGACATCGACACATCCCATGCGTGGCCTTCTGCCCGGCAGCCAACCCAACGAATATCAGCTGCAGACAGCGGATCCACGTGAATCCACATCCATAATACTTTTGCAGCCGACGCTGCGCATAACGCCAGTGCCGGCGCCAGCGCCAGTGGTACAGCCGCCGCTGCAGCCGACGCTCAGTCTGGAGCCGGCGGCCATTAAGCGACGTCGTGGTCGGCGCAGCAAGGCGAACATTAACAGCGAGGGCCAGGGAGCTGCAGCCGCTGCGGTGGCCCAGCTGGGCGCCAATGGGCAGAAGTGCTTTCAGTGCACGCACTGCGAGGCCTCGTTTCCCAATGCCGGCGATCTGTCCAAGCATGTGCGCTCGCACATCTCGAATAAGCCGTTCCAGTGCTCCATTTGCCAGAAGACCTTCACGCACATCGGCAGCCTCAATACGCACATTCGCATCCACAGCGGCGAGAAGCCGTACAAGTGCGAGCTCTGCCCGAAGGCCTTCACCCAGTCGAGCAGCCTGATGGTGCACATGCGGTCGCATGCGGTGCGCAAGCCGCATCAGTGCTTGCAGTGCGACAAGGGCTTCATCAACTACAGCTCCCTGTTGCTGCACCAGAAGACGCACGCGGCGCCCGTCGAGAGCTTTGTGTGTCCGGAGTGCGAGCGCGAGTTTAAGGCCGAGGCGCTGCTCGACGAGCACATGCGCATGCACACCCAGGAGCTGGTCTATCAGTGCGCCATTTGCCGGCAGGCATTCCGTGCCAGCTCAGAGCTCGTGCAGCACATGAAATGCCATATGGGCGAGAAGCCGTTCACCTGCTCCCTGTGCGATCGCTCGTTCACGCAATCGGGCAGCCTCAACATACACATGCGCATACACACGGGCGAGAAGCCCTTCCAGTGCAAGCTGTGCGACAAGTGCTTCACGCAGGCCTCCAGCCTGAGTGTGCACATGAAGATCCATGCCGGCGAGAAGCCCTTTCCCTGTCACATCTGCGGCAAAGCCTACAGCCAGCAGGCCTATCTCAACAAGCATATACAGGCGCATGCCATGGACGCGACGCCAGCTCGCCAAGCGTTGCCAGTCATGCCAGTCACGCCGAAGGAGACGCTGGTTTGCATTGTGTGCGGTGCCTTGCATGCGGATGCAACTGCCCTGGCGCTGCATGTGACGCGGGAGCATACGGCGCTGCTAGACAATATGAAGCAGGCCACGTTGCCGCCGGCACCACTTGCGGCGGGCAAATGCAGCGCCGTGGAACGCCAGGCACAGCAGCAGGCCTACATGCAGCGTGTGCAGTCGATGCTGCAGCAAATGAATCAGCAGCAACAGCAGCTGCCAGCCATGGACTCGGCCGGCGAGGACGAAGAAGAACTCGACGAAGACGACGACGACGACGATGACGAGCCGGATGAAGATGATGAGCAGCTGGACGAGGCGGCCGAGCAAAACGAGGCGCAGCAAGCGGCTAACAACGATCATGATGACATCGATGATGATGGTGATGATGATGGTGATGATGATGATGATGATGATGGGCAGCAACTAATTACGGATGCGGATATGTATTATGATATGCCCGTTGATTTTGCCGACATGGAAGTGGGCTGCGAGGAGGAGGTGTGTGCTGATTTTATAGAGAACGACGATTACGCTGCCGAAGAGGAGGTCTACACTGAGGACATCTGAAAGCCGTTACACATATATGAAGAGTTAGGAAGTTTCGCACAGGCATGGCATTTCGCATCAGTTCCACATATTATTCTCACAGCATGGATTCAATTTTGTATTCATTTTTTTTGTGTGGAATCTGTGCGAAATGTCAAATGCGAAACACAAACTCAGTTTTTAAATTTTAAGCATTGTTTTCTGGCCATAGTTCTTATTATTGCTTATGGTATTTAATCATTATTATTGTAAAACACCCAACACCACCCACAATTGTCAAGCACCGCGCAGAGCTCTTATGTTTAAATGTTCTATAGACTTGTATGTTTAAGTTTAACCCTACTAAAAATAGTGCTTGCAGCTTGCAACAGCTTCCAACTTCCACCGGCTGCCGAACCATATCGCATATCATCTCACAATATCTGTAAGCTAATCTCAGTTAGGGCTCTGCGTCGTGCTTGCCAATTCGAATGCACCACCTTAAATGGTATTAAACTTTAGTATTAAGCTACCTACTGTATGCTGCTCATTTACCGAATGCCCCACAATGAATTGTGGGTCAGACTTTCCCGAAACGAATTCCCCTATATTACGAAAGCGCGCATTATTGTGCGGATCCTGAAGAGATTACATTAATCGTTAACTTAAAAAACATTCAAAACTGTGTACATTATTTGGTTAAAGGCGAGTGAGAAATGGACAGATGGGAAATGTTAAAACTTGTTGGGTGTAGTTGCTCGCCAATAATTTGTGTAATATTTATAGCCCTCACTTGCATATATTTACATGAACACCAATCCAAAGTCGAGTCGATATGGCTATATGGTTGTCATAGAGCCTATCGCTGGAAATTTACGGCTTTCCAAAAGCCCGTGAAAGTCTAACATCGCACATCGGACAATTTTGTTTAGTTCTTCGTAATATTTTAATATTATATCTGCAAAACCGAGGAATAATCGATGGGGATTAAAGCTTTTGGGTACAGGCAATATGTCCACAGGGGTACTTGATTTCTTTTTTGTTCTCAAAGGACGTTATTATAAATGTTAATTTCAAATAACAGCGCGTCGTTTACAGATAGTTTACATAGCATACAAATGTTATCGTTCTTAAAATCAATTTTATTGATTTATATGCACATTATCTTTTACAGCCTTGTAAAAGTCAGCGGGGTAATCGCTTGTTGACTCGTCTCGCTGGTGTCCGTCTCGGCAATGCCAAACATGCCGGCCAGCAGGCAGCCGGCGGCCAAGTTATCATCCGGTTCAAGTCTTTCCGGTGGTGTTATAATCACATTGTCGCCCTGATAGACGTAGGGCAGGCGGAGTATCCAGTAGGCGCTCTGCGAGAGTCGCGGCAACGTGGGGCAGCCCAAGGTGAAGATGTATTTGCCCACACGCATCTTGGGATCGAGGATTATGTTGACGGGCGCCTTAGGAGTGACCACATGAATGCGCATAAGCTGCGCCAGATATGTGGTCTGTGCGCGACACGGGCAGGGGAAATACAGGGGCATATTGTTGTTCACCACTTTGCTGCTAGTGTCGCGTTCAATGTCTGCACCGCCGCGCAGCACACGATCCGGGCCGCACATCATGAAGCGATGGCCACGCGAGCACTCGTACTCGAAGCCAACGAAGATCTTGAGCGCCAGGCGATCGCCGTGCTTGCGATAGCGTTGACTCTTCTTGCCCATCGACTGTTGCTGCTGCGGATGCTTGTGCGGCTGGACGAGGCGCACGTGCACGTCCCAGGGCAGCAGAAAGTTGGCGCCGGACAGAAACCCGCTTTGAAAATGCTCTTGCAGTCCGGTATTGTGACTATAAATGGAACTGGGTCCCACACAGGCGAGCGACCAGCTCGGAAACAGTGGCAATAGCTCACAGCCGCTGCTCATGTGCACCAATCCGGGCAGATATTCCGTGGTAGAGACCTGCTCTGTCGACGCTACCATCGGTAGCGCTTCTGGGCAGATCTCGCTGACTGCGGCATTGGCCGCATTCTGATCGGTGCGCTCCTTGAGCTGCAGCACCAGCTCGTTGGCTGTGTTGGCACTGGAGGTGCCGCTGCTGGTGCTATTGCTGCGGCTGCTCAAGCCACTGCTGCAAATTTGCGAGCTGATCTCCGGTGAACGCACCTCCTCGCCCTCATTCAGCGAAGCGCCAAAGCCCGCTATCGACATATTTAAATCGGAGCCATAGGTAGCCGACAATGCCGGCTGCGAGCAGCCATTGCTTAGGGTTATCTGCGGCTTCTGTGGCGCCTGTTCCGTTGCACTAATCGGCTGGGAGTAGAGCTCGTCAGCGGCATCCAGATCGCTGTCGCCCTGTGCCGCGATCTCAGTGCGGATCTTAGCCGCCTGCAACAACAGTGGAAAAGCAGCCTCGAAAGCGGCCGCTCGATAATCGCTTATCGAGGGCGTAAATACGGGCAACTGAAACTTTTTAACCTTAACGCACAAATTGCACATGGCAGCCATGTGCTCGTAGTAATTGTAATTGGCCTGCCGGAGTGTGAATGGATCCTCTCGCCTGCCCTGCGTGCGCCCGCAATTACAGCTCGAGATGTGCACAATGCCGCTGATATGTTTATCGTGCGGCGCATCCTTTGGCTGTGTACAGGGATTGCCACGCAGGCTGAGCTGTTCGCACTGTTGCCTGCCGTCGAGCCAGTGCCTTAAGCAAATATCGCTGAGCTTGGCCAACGCCAGCTCCGCATATGGACCGCGTCCTTCCTCCTCAAAGGCCAGTATGGCATCCGCCAGCAGCTGCTTGTGCGTGGCGCTGCCGTAAATGGCGGGCACGGAATTTTTATAGGCGGATATGCCCTTCTTCAAGCCCAGGTCGCACAGATGGCCCCAGAATCTGTTAAAAAAAAAAAAAAGGATTACTTGGGGTAAATACACAAAACGATTGTTTCACCTACTTTTTCTCATAGTTGAGGCTCTCATTAAAGTCCCGCAGATAGGCTTTCTATGGAGGATTTCAATTAATAGATAATGTTATGATTTGGGATAACTATTTACATAATTTTGATTATTTGTTACGTAGCTGCCTTCCTGAATATGTCCGAGGAGCAGCTTGTGTACGGTGTCCATGCAAATGTGCCAATCATTGGCGCTCAGCAGCTGGAATTGGGCCGACTGTGGCAGCTGTTTGAAGGAGCCCTCATCAAAGCAGCCTTGCAGTGCATCCTGCACATGACGCTGCAAAAAGTGCCAGACTGTGTGCTTTTTCCTGTAGAGCTGCTCGTCCGACTCACGCGCCTCGTAGGCCGCGCCATACGGCTTGACAAAGCCCTCGAATGGCGCAAGCTCTAAAATTTCTGTGTCCTCCTCCTCTTCTTTGACATCCGACTTGTACATGGTTGCGTTGAGAGCCTCAATGGCAAGCAGCAGCTGATCCGAACGCAGCTTCTCATGGGCATTGTAGAACACAAATTGCTTGTTGTTGGGCAGCGCAAGCAGAGAATTATTGGCATTGTTGGTGACAATGTTGTACTGGCGCAGCAGCTCGTATATCTTGTCCTCCGTTTGGAATTCATATGCGGAAATGCGTTCACGTGTCTTCACCTCATCCTGAGGATAGTTCTCGAACAGAAACAGAACACGTGGCGTGCACAGTCGCGCCCTATCCCTGAGTAAGCTGCCGGCGGCTGTTTCACGCAGCATTTGGGGCAAAAAGTCCAGCACATGCTTCTCTCGTACATACTTCAGCAACTGGCAAATGGTCACCAGTGTCGTGTCGAAGGTCTGTGCGGTTTCCACGTACACCAAAATGTGACACACGTGCAGCGCCAGCAGCAAAATGCGCAGAAACCGACTCCGCATCTGCTCGTAGAAGCTGTCAAAGTCAACGGACGTTTGCTTCAGCAGCTGCTGGCCCAGTACCGCCTCATCGTGGGTGGTCTCAAAGTGCAGCAGCAGCATATTGGTGCCTGGCTTATAATAGCACAGAATCTGTCCATCCGCCGGCTCGTGCGTCTTGTCGGGCTGCATGCCAAAGGCGCTCATTTTGTTGGCCTGCGCACATTTCGATCGCCCAATTATGCCGACAATCACCAGCGAGTTTTGCAGCTCCGATAGCAAAGGCCTGTTGTGGTACACGTGTTGACGATTATCTTATTATGAAGTTTGTCATCCACTTACGCTACATTCTCGGGTATGTCCGGATACTTCCAGGTGTAATAGTTCTTGTAGCTCATGTTTCGCGTGCGGCCAAAACAGCAACAAGACAAACATAAACAAGGCGAGATGGCAAAAATATATCGATATATACCATACTGCTCTACACGAAATGCATTACCGATAGCTATCGATTAAAACGTATCGATTAAAATGTATTACTGAAAGCGCCAAAAGCTATCGTGTTTTGAATCTTTAAGGCTAAGCTTGTTAATCAAAAAACCATATTATTTTGTTTGTCTAAAGCAATTAAATTTTATTGTAAACTTTTTGCCATTTATAAATACTTTCAGCATACCTTACAGCTTTTCGTATGCCATAGCGTGTGTGTATTTTTGTTTGCTTTCCATATTTTTGCATCAATTGTCAATGTTAAACGAGAGTAAAGTGCATGATTAAGTATAATGTATAATGTTTAAATTTTGGAGCTATATAATGTTGAATTAAGTATGCGTGTTTGGCTAAATGAGCACCTAAAATGATTTATGTGTTTTATATTATTATATTTATGCAAAGAGCATGTTGAGAGAGTTTACTTATGCTATGTGTCGGCATAATTAATAGAGCATACAATAGAGTATCATAGAAGAGTGCATTATCCGTTAATTTCAAGAGCTATTAAAGTGCTAAAATGGTTTTTAAAATGTATGTTGGTTTTCTTTTTGCCATGTTGAGCACATTAAAAATACTTTTATGTTAGATTTCAATTGCTAGAAAGTACGATTAACTACTACAAAGAATTTCGTGGAGTGAAGATCTCGAATGCTTCATCAAGGTATTTACAAATAATTTGATTAGAAGTTTTCAAAATTTTATTTTATGCTTTATGTTGAGTTTAATGGGAGTTTGCTAGTTGTTTGACATTTTATTTACATTGTGAAAAGAATAAATTATGAAATTCTTTGTGCTTCAATAATCGTGTATGTATTGTGTTATATTGCAACTGTCGGCTCACTGGAACATCTAAAGAAGTTCCTTTGATAAAATTAAAAAATAAAAACTAATTCTATGCATGTTTTCTTTCTATAAATTTATACTTTTTTGCCAGGCTTTTACGTTTTATCTTGAGTTTACCATTCTGTTTTTCTTTCGGTTAATTTTAGTTATTTTCGCTTTTTTCGCATCATTCTTACTCCACGTTTTGGCAGTGAACCTGAGCTTACATCTTTGTTTTCGTGATCAATTTACTTTACACAAACATTTCCATTAAATATCCTCTTGTACACAATTTTATTCAAATCTTTTTAGGTAGCTACAATATTTAAGCACAATGACAATAACATATATTATGATAGTACAGTTTTTTAATGATTCGTTTAAATAAATACAATTAAGCAGACGTAGGCAAAAAATCATTTGCAACAACCAGAGTGTTTACTGTAGTTTTTTTTTTAATATTTTTTTACTAGTTTTTACTACACACGCTTTCGGAAAAACTCATTTTGCATTACAAATAAACAATTTCATATTAGTTTCAGGCCATTTACTATACACATATGTATGATGTACATACATATATATTTATGTATATATATATATATTATTATGAAATATCATCACAAAATTGATGAAGTCATGATTTAAATTTGTATTCTTATGGCTAACGATGCATTTTATCGGTGTGTTCTTTAAATTAAGACTAAACTTTGCAAATACAGATTTCAAACAAAAAAAAACCTAAATTGAGAAATTCGGAAATATGATAATTCGGTTTTATTCTTTGTTCTTGTGTGGATCTTAAAGCAGCTAAACTTAAAAGTAAATTGTATTTCGCTTGCATATTATATGTTAGTATATATGTTAAATGATTTCCTTTCTTTTATTTTATTTATTTTTTTTATTCATTTTTATTTATTGAAGAACCGGCGATTTACAGCGTTTTTGCGCGATCCAAGAGATCGCCGATGAACTTCGATATGTCCGATTGCGGGCGTTTGCAGACTGACAGTAATCTCTGCAGGAGACAAGATTTATTTATTTTATTTATTTATTTTTTATTATTAAAAGAGGCAAACTTACGATAAGATGAGATCTTCTTATGTCGTCTGTGTCCATGTCTAAAATTTCATCAATATCCACATCGATCGCCTCGCTCTGAAAACCCCAAAGAAACTATATAAGAAACTCGTCTGGAGTCAGCTTTGAGCTGTCATCTTACCGGCGGATCAAAGAGCTTCTGCAGTTCATCGTATAGCCACATTTCGACGGCCAGACGCTTCCTGATCAGGCTCATCTGATGTGAGCCATATTTGGCGGTGAGGAACTTTTCGCGTCGCTCCTTGACCTCCGCCCCCTTCTCATTGAAGTTGACCCGCAGATTTGTCCGATTTGGCGAGCGTTCGCAATCGTTCATTTGCTCCAGGCCGCACTGCATCTTCCAAGAGCTGCTTGTCGTTGTCCGGGAATTGATTGTTTATGATTAATTAACACTGTTGCGTTTATTGAACTTGCAACTAATTGCCTGAAAGCAGACGGAAATTGGTCTTTGAAATGCACTCCAAACAAATTTATATATGTATATATATTAATTGATGTATTTAATATAATATTATGTAATTGAAGCCGAGCGCTGCTTTCGTCATGCGTCACGCGAGAGGCCCGTTCGATCTCTTAGGCCCATACCCATTCGCATTCCAGTTATTAATGCCCGTTTTGGCCCAAAGGCATTTTCATGACTCACCCACAGCTTGCCACAGCCAGAAAGAGAGAAAGGGAGAGAGAGAGAGGGAGAGAGGGAGCTACTCCTCTGCCTTGGCCCGACTCTGTCTGTGGGCCCATCAAGTCAGACTCTGATTCATGCTGTTTTTATTGCTCGCTGTAGCTGGACTTGTTCTGGCTTTATCTATGGCCAAGATTTGACATGCCAACAGCAAAAAGGAATAATTGCCCAGCCAATCCTGCCCACGTTTCACAGCTAATTTAATTAATGTGTAATGCATGTAATGAATGCTCCTCCGATTCGGCATGACATTTGACATTTTTTGTGAGCTTATCGCCAAATCTAGTTGGAAAGTTTCAATTGTTGCATTGATGAAGATAAATGGGCGCAGTCGGAAAACTTATCCACTTCTGAAATTGTTTTCAATTTCAATTTACAAGCTGCTACGAACTCAATCAGCAGCAATTTAATCATATCAAATAAAGAACTAAGCAAGCTTGAAATTTCTTGTTTTGAGTGCTGTAAATAACTCTTGGGCGAGATATATAGGAATTTAACACCTGAACCACATAGTTAAGTAAAACATATACAAATAAGAAATTTTTCTTTACAAAGTTTGATATATTTTTACTTACTTAGGAGGTACATAGATCTCTTCCTAGTGCTTTTTATTGATAATCAAGAGCTTCAGTTTATTTATTTAATTTAATTAATATTAATATTTTAAGGTCAATCAGGTCTTGCGGGTTTTACTTCAAACTAAACTTTCCAAAAGCCTTGATGAGCTGTCTTAAATATCATTGACGTCATTTTAGGTAGACAATTCGAGTTGATGGCAGATCTAAGTTAAGGATTTTTGTCTTCCGTCTCGTGAGGAAACGCTTTGTTTTTAAATAAGTAAGCAACCAGTATATTTTTTACAAATAACCCAATCCCAACCCGAACTATGAATATACATAATTGTATAGTTAAAATTAAAAAAAAAAATTACAAGACACACCAAATATTTAATCAATTTCTCAGCTGTTTAAAACTACGAACCGAACCTCAAATCAAAGAAATGTTTCGAGCTACAGACTATTTCGCTTGGTTTTGTAGCCCTGATTTTACCATAATTTAAGGAAACAAATTCTTAATAATTAAATAAGTTAAATAATTGTTATTTCTGCAATTGCCTTAATTTATTATATTCCCCTATTCCTTGAAGCATATATTATTTTTCCTGTTAAATATAAGTACCAGTAAATGCTGTTTGTTTTCAAACTAGCCGAATTCCATGAATAAATAACATTTCTTAGTCATACATTCGTTTCGTTCGTTTTTGGAACTTTTAAGTGAGAAATATATTGCACAAATATTATTCTTCACCTGTGCAAACAAACATTGAAATATTTGCATGGGGAAATGTTAATAAATGGAAAGTAGATTTCGGAGATTTTCAGCCAACCAATCTTAAGGTATACGATTTCCACTTAATTCTTTATTTGCATTAAAGCAGAAATGCTTTTCCAGCTTGTTGTGTGTGAATCATTCAGTAAAAGAAATATAAACAAAGTATTATATAATCCATATCTTCATAGGGAAATACCAAGTACTTTCCCATAAGATTTATTCTTTCCGAGAAGTAGCTATAAAATTATATTGTAATACTTTGTAATATCTGGGCTGATATGAATATAAGTTAATAAATAGGATAGATATGCCCTAGAGTCTTAAGAATAATTTGGTATACAGATGCAAGTATATCATTTATTCCATTTTCCTCATAAAAGAGATAGGATGAGATAAGTTTTCAAATTTCACATATACCCAGTAAATTTCTTTCTCGACTTTTCCAATATTATTTGTTTATTTTTGTGGCAAATGCCAATTTTAATTTCTAATTTTTTGATTGCACTGATTTTAGCGGACATGCAAATTGGTCAGTTCTAGTTAAATTGATTCGTGGTGCATTTGAAATGCAATTTGCTGTTCAAATTGGCCACGTTTGATGGTTCCTTGGGGTATGGGGATGGTTAGGTGGTGAGGGTGATAAGGCGGGAGGGGGGGGGGGTACTCTCTAAATCGAGGCTAGTCACATTTCCTTTCACAGCGAATTAGCCAACAAGCAGGAGAACGAAAGCACGGGCTAAATTGAATCAAAACAGGCTGAAGGCAGGTGGAGCCACACACCAACACACACACACAAACACACACATGTGTGAAAATATGCATGTGTGCCCCATCCCGGAAGTTTCCGCAACGCTGCACAGGTGAGGCGGGGGCGTGGTGGGAAAACAGCGGCGGCGTCTGTCGACAGTTACAATGTTGTTACAATTTTTCGTAGTTACCCAGCAATTGTTGTGTGCATGCAACGTGTTGCATGTTTCTCTACTTCTTCTTCTTCTAGCGGCTATTGCAACATCATATTTATGCAAAGCTCTTGCTGCCGTTGTTGCTGTTGCCACAGCGTTAGATGTGGCAAGCAATAATAATAAAGCCAGCTGCCTCGTACTTAAATCTAATGCCGGCTCTTGGAAGTCAACGGTCAAATGCTTTGCCAACGTCTTGTTTTTTCGTATCTTTGGGAATTCCCTAGATAAGTTTTTCCTATGCAAAACAACTTCTCACAGCCCACAATTAGGGCTAAAGCTAAGCGACGCGTTTTGAGCTACGAGGCACGAACAGATAATAAATTAAAGCAGCGCCTGAGAACTGAATAAACGCCTTCTAAATGCCATCATATCATGTCGAGCGGTCATCACAATACACATTACCCACTGGGCCAACGGAACCGCACAATTAGGCCTGATGTCGGGCAATTTCCGGTATTAAAATGTACACAAGAAATATTTGAGCACAAATAATGAAATCCGTGCAAACGAAAAAAGCCCAAAGCAAGCAAATGGTTCCCATTCAAATGTCTCGTATTACCTGCTGTGGCACCCGTTCTACGTATCACAGCTCTCTCTCCCCCTCTCTCTCACTGTCTCTCCCTCCCCCCTCTCCCTCTCTTTGCATTCCTTTGCTCGACATGCGAGTGACAAGTTAAACGTCAGTTTCATAATTGCTTATGACTCTTAAGTAAATCTCGTATCAGATTTCGCCAGACAAGCACACACACACAAACACACCACACTAGCACACAAACACACCACACTAGCACAGGCACACACCTAGCAAACAGCCCAATTGAATGGTGTGAAAGAGATAGCAATTGCTGAGAAGTGTGCACATAACTCAGCAACAACTCAACAGCATTGTTATTTTTAGTTAATGGTCGGAATATTGATGCGGAAATCTTTGCGTTTCTGTTGCCACACACACACATACACACACACGCTTGCCACATGGCCTAAAATGCAGTTTGGCCAACAGGCAAAACTATTTCAATATTTGACTCTTTGCAATTGAATTTGCGGCAAAATTGAAAATTTTTTGTGTGTGGCAAGTTGTGCGTGGGTTCAGATTGGGCGTATCTTGGGCACGGATTTTGGTGCCAGGTTCGTGTTGTCCCTGTTGCCATTGACATTTTTTCCTGTTTTTCTTTTTTTTGGGGCACGAAATTCGGTTGAATAGAAACATCTGCAATCGTTTGAAATGTCACAGTAAAAATAAGAATTTGTTGGCCTGAAATATGTTATAAATAAATATTGCAAAATTGAGCACATTTTTCGTTTATTGCCGTGATAGAAAAAATCGGTTCTAAATTAAGAGATTAATAAAATGGAATTAGCAGAGCTTAGAAAGGAATTGGCTAAACATCACACGGATTTATATATAGGCATTTTATCGTAAAGCAAAAATTGGTTTATTAAAAAAGTGTCTGCAGAACAGAAAAAGTTTTTAGGCAAATAATATAAAAATGTTTATATTGACTTTTAAAGGCTTAACTTTAGTTAAGATTTTGCTCTTTGGCTATTATCTATTAAAAGTTTTGCTCTTACTTTTAAAAACATATTCCATCGATCATAAAACTAGAACTCTTCTGACTTATCATTTCCATTCTATAATATATTGATATTAAACATTTGCTGATACTCAAAAAGATAAACAAATGTTATTTTCCCATTGTTATCACGATCATAAATATGTAATCAGCCGCAATCCTTAAATGATATCAGCTTAACATATTTGTGAAATCCCATCGAAACAAGAAACTAAAGCTATGCTTGGGCAAATTTAAAATATATTTGTGGTATACTTTCATTAAATATCTTTTATGAAAAGAGCCCTAAACTAAAGATACTAAAGATACAGAAAATCTTTCCTTAAAGCTGAAATCTTTTTTAAAAAATATCACAGAAAACATTTACGAAAACACATTTACTAAAGATATCTATAAATGATCATACTACATTGTAACTCAAAGTGAAATTTGAACAATTAACAAAAAAACCTTTGCTCAAATTTCTTTACGATATCTTCAAAGACTGGAGCAAGAGTTCAAATGCCATATATTACCTCAACAGGATTAAAAGTCATCAATCATAAAGTGTTTCAGTTACCTTAACAAAAGTATAATACTCTGTGGCAGGGTATTAAGAGCCTTTAATATTCAATCAGTTGAGGCTAATCAAATTTTGTTATACTTTGTCAAAACGAAACACGAGCCAATTAACAAAACGCAAATTTGATGAGCTGTCATATTTACGAGAACAAAAACTCGAAAATAAAGAGCAGAGCAGCAGCCAAAAATCCAAAAAATGAAGAAGAGCAGATGCCAAAAAAGGGAACGAATGGGTAACGACAGCTTCCATCTAATTGATTTTTAAGTATCGGCCAATCTGAACGCCAGGGGGCGCCCTGGCAGCTTTTATGGC